AAACAGAAACATCTAAAATCTGACTCCATTTGATTCCTTTTTACTTTAGTTATTAGAACAATTTGACCTTATTGATACTTATTTTCACAAAAGAACTATTTTGATTATTCCCTCCGGTGGACTCACCACCTGCAGGAGGATCAGTGAGGGGCTGGTGCTCTGTGTACTGGGTGCAGCTCTGACTGCCACCCCCCCCGACCCAGAAATGGATTAAGGGGAAGAAAATGGATGGATGGATGGATGATTATTCACTAGTCTAACTATTATTACTATTGTTTATTCTGACACCTCTTCTTAGCGACCTTTCAACCTATAGCTCCTTGAATCCAATGACATTATAGCTCCAGACTATTTCATTCTATTCTATTATTGTATGATCTATTATCTTAAAGAGTAGATCTGTTTGATGTTATAAGCGCTATTATTTCTCCTTTTGAATTTGCACAACACTAAATTTAGAATGACCCCCTATGGGACAAATATAGAATTTTATTTCATTTTGGCAACTCCGAAAATTACTTAATAATTTTCCCATTTTGCTTTTTTAGGCTGCCCTTTCTATTATTTATTTGTTCTTGTAAATATATGTTTTACACTTCTTTCTAATGATTTAGAAGGTTAAGGACCATGACCACCTATGACAATAACATTATATACTCCCTCTCTTGGTCATGGGCCAAAGTATAAAACATGCGTCTGTGTGTGTGTGTAGATTACTGTTCCAATCATTCTCCAGTTGTTCCTCCCGGATCGTCCTCAATTCATATTGTGGGCTTTGGTGCCAAAGTAGAGGCTCATTTCATCATGATCCATACTACTGTCATCCCTGAAGCAGGTGCAGTTTATCTTTCATCTGAAAAAGAAACATTAGAACACACGAAATGCCCACTTCCCTGGCATGGTGCAGCCTGTCAATCTTTTTCCAATTGGGTAAAACATAACTGCATTGACAGACGGTGTGTGACATCAGGGCAGAGGCTGTAGCCAAATACAGACTTAACAATATGTATGTTTCTAATTTTATACTCCCCTAAATGTGAATTACAAACCAAAGTTGTCCTTCAACCAACGACCGCTCACTGCGGTTGGACCGAATCATTGTCAGGACAAACAGCAGAGGCAGGGACTCCCAATGTCTTCAGCAAGGCATTTCATCTCAGAGTACTTTCTCAGAGTACTTTTCTCAGAGTACTCTCACTTTTACACCTGTTCAATAAAGCTTGTTATCTTTGAATCTCTAGTACTTACACCGTATGCTGTTGACAAAAAATAATTATTCCATGATCACATTAAAACATTACAGAAAACTTTTGTTATTCCATTCTCCGTTCAGCACTCCTCGTTCACTCCTCATTTCACATCACACTCGCATCACACACGCATCACTCACACAGGCCGACTCCCCAGTTAGTATTTTGGTCCAGAGTTTGTTAAGGTCAACGTAGTGTACTTGACATGACGCACAAACATATAACATACACAAACATATAACATACACAAACATATAACACACACAAACATATAGACAACACAGGAGGCCTGTAATTTTAACTTTGTTATATTTTTCCATGTCCAATTACAATTGTCTCATGAGCTATTTCTATTGTTGCAACTTTCAGAGCCTGCAGAACATGCAGAGCTTTAAGAGGTTTTTCCTAAAAGGATCCATTTCAAACTTTAGTGTTTAAACCACGTGGTCTGTACTCGGGCTTGTCACAGACTGTGTCCCCTATATTTTTAATGAGCTCTTGTTACTTAAAAACTCATGCACGTGCAATAAATGTTTTTCCCTTTTTTTTTTTTTTTTTTTTTTTAAAGCCAGTTTGGATTCCTTAAAAATGTAAATTAGTTTCAAACTTTAATACTTCACCTTTGTTTCACGTTCATGTGGAGAAAAGACCATTGTTTTATGTGTGTGTACTTGCACCAATCATATCTCAGATGAACGGCCAACAGTTGTATTAAAGACATAATTGTCCTAATTGTTTCTAATTTAGCTATTTGGAAAAGAAACATGTCATAAAAGATTTCCTAAAATGTCCCTACATCCGTGTTTTCAACCAATGAACAGTGTTGCGTCTATGTGTTATCAGAAATGATCCAAAAATCACCTTTAGCCAAAATTTAGAAATGCTTTAAATCATTTTTCAAACTTCAATTGTCTGAACAAACCATTTTGTACCAAATGCAACGTCCATTAAAAGCTGCAGTTCTCTTTCTAGCACCAGTTTCAACTGTGCATGTGATTGTTCTTAAATGGGAAACGAGCCACGGTTCAGAGGTTGAAAAATTGCGTTAAATATCCGTATTACCAAGATCATGCAGTCAAAATCAATAATTCTAAACTTCTCCGCGACTATAACTTTAAATAACAATAATAGTTTTAATAATAAAGCTCCTCTACTTTAAATATACTGCTGTTCTAATCTCCTTGTGTCTCATGCTAAAGCAAGAGTCTAATTAATTTTAACGATTGTCCTGTATTCTTTCATGCAGCTAAATGTAGTGTTATGAACGAATGACCTAGCTAAATGTGTAAATATGACTTAATATGTCTCTGTGCGTTTGTTGCCTGTCTGTATATTTACCTTCTGTGTGTCTCATTTAGGCCAGCCACGTCTCAAATGTCCGTTAATGTCTTTCTTTTACTCATGGCGTCTTTCAATGTCTTTTGTCTCAAAGTGTCCAATGTCTTTGCCTCAATGCCTTTTTTCTTCTTCTTTAAATCACTTTCTTCTTCTTGCAATGTCTTTTTCTTTTCAATCATTTTTTGACGCACACCAGTGTGTGTCCTTCTTCTTCTTGTTAGGTTTACACAACGTTCTTCTCCGTGCACATAACTCCACTCGGTTTGTGCAAAAGTCTGGTTTTTCTCCATGAAATGGAGGCCGGAGAGGTCTTCTTCGAGAGTTCCTGTTAGCTGCTGCAGCCGATGCTGCTGTCTTTGGTGCCCCCTGTGGGTCTGGGGGAGACGCTGATGGTCCGTGCTGATGGCGCCCGATTGTGGTTTGTGGCAGAGACGATTTTTGGCCAAATGAAACAGACAGAAGTTTTCTCGGAAAAAACAGACAAACAAGAAGCACAAACAAGTGTATTAATTACCATACGAAACCAATGATTAATTACAATTCAAAATAAACCTATGAAATAATTAATATTAACATTTTAAACATTAAATTCTGAAAACCAATTCTGCATTCAACTGCTCTCCTGAGCCCTATTTTTCCAAAAGCATAATGCTCTCTAAGATCATTCTAACTTTTATATCACCAAAATGTAGGGAAAAAAACTTGTCCAGATAAAAAATAAAAACATAAAATAATGCCTCTTTATAATCTAACTCAAAGTTCTGTGATCCTATGACTCCATGTCAGTAACATTATCGAGTGTATAAATGTAATTTTCTACAAGAAAAATTCTTTATTCACGAGAGAGAGAAAGACAGAGAGAGAGAGAGAGAGAGAGAGAGAAAGAGGGAGGGGAGGGGCTGAGTGGCTTCTCGAACAAAGGAACACATGGATGATTGAAATACACCCCTTCTTTGCTACATTTTCCTCGTTTTTATCGTGATATGGTCTTAATCAGTGGTAAAAGTTTTTCTCACGTCAAACGACACTTTACATTTTATCCTTAAATACGTCAGTAATGGAAAACATTACAATTTGCTTACATGACCAATGCATCACTAGGTACAGACGGATCTTTTTTTTTCGTAATACCTCTGTAACTATTGAAACATTACATCACAATACAAGAGAAAAAATGCAAAAAATAATGGATTTAATCAAAAAATAAAACAAATCCAAAAACCACAGGGAACAAGGACAGAACTAAAACAGACGAGGGATGACAATGACGGAACAGGGAGTGAAGGAACACACTCGGCTAAATACAAGACTAATGACACACAGGTGCTACACATGAGGGCAGGCAGGTAATCACACAGGAAGTAATGCTAAAGAAGACACAGGGATTTAACAAACTACAAAATAAAACAGGAAATAAAACTAAACCATGCCACCAACCAACTAAACATACATTCAAATTTCATCAAACGCTCATAGTTTAAAACTGTGGAACATAACTTTCAAACAACCAAAAATACATATTGTGTAAAATGGAAAATTGCATCTTCCTCACTCTCAAAACAGTCTGAGGTTCAGTCACTGGTGGCATCACACATGTTTTATTCAGCCATTGTCACATCTTTAGATCAGCTTTTTCAGACAAAATAAAAAGAATAAAAAGAGTAAGGACCACCCTTTCTCACCACAAACAGTTAAAAAGTGACCCACATGGCCATTTTTTATAGTATGCAAAATATGACATTTTTATGTTATCTATGATCCATGTTAGTCCCAACAACAACAAAAATTCTAACTTCTAACTCTAGCTAAAACAAGCTCATCGTATAATCACAACTTATACATTATTTAAATATATAACTGATAATAGCATTCAAGTAATATTTTTTTTTCAAACTTACAGTATTGAATTGAGAAAATGCTTTATGACACAAGTATTTTTAATCAAACCACTCTTTGTTTAACAAGTCATCTATTCAACTCTATTTGATCAAATTTAATTTAATTTAGAAACGCATGCAGTCATCGCTCCATTGGGAGCAGAAGACCTGAGATCTGGTGAGAAGAGACTGGTCTTCTCTTTTTGATAAAAAAAATCTGATCTAAAGATGTGACAAGAGCCAAAAATGCATGCATGTGAAACCTAGTGATAGAGTCAAACTGTTTTTAGGAAGTAGACAGACTGCATAGTTCTAATAATTGTGTGAAATTTAGGCACCAAGACTTTAAAAAATATAGATATATTATAGCATTATTTTTGTCATTCAAATGAATGCAATTGTCTGAATGGAGAAGGTCTGAGAAAAGAGTTTTTAGACAGAAGATAACATAGACTTTATTGATCTCACACAGGAGAAGGGGCGGAGTTACATGTTTGTGCCATGTGTAACATGGTTAAAAGCTCATTAGACTCCTTTAAGTTGCTGTTCCCCTTTGGCCCTGTGGTGTGGTGGGCTTGTATTGGCTGCAGCGGTCTCCGGTCAGATGCCGGTCACAGGTCAAAGTGTACTCTGCGTCCACACCTCCGTTACTGGCTCTGCAGCTGAACTTGCGGGTGCCTTCTCTGAGGGACCGGGAGCAAGAGCCCATGAGCTCATCTGGCCACGGGTCTTCATCCCAGGCCTCCACCTTCAGACGGTGATGCGTGTCTACCTGCAAAAAACACTTTTAATGGAAGCACAATGCAATGTGTTCATTTTTGCAATATGTTCTTGAGAATGAATACTTTGAAATTTACCGTTCATCCTTCAGTGGAAATTGAATGGGTAAAGCAATGAGAGATTGACAAGATGTAAATTGTATTTTTGAAGTTAAAGTGCAGAAAGAAGTGAAGAAAAAAGACATTTTCAATAGAAATTAACAGTTATATCCACCATTGGTCTTCTCTGTATTCTACTACAGCCGCAGGCCAGTTCTACAGAACTTAAATGGAAGTGATGCTTATTTAAAGGGGAAGGTATGTTTGAAATATATTTATTATAAACACTATGCTATTTAGATGATACCACAGCATCATGTAGGTTATTTTCTGTCCCTTTACAGTACAGTACATCTATGAACGCAACTGCAACAAAGTGCAGAAATTGCAGCAGCTCACATTCCCAAGGGTCTGCCATCCACGCCAAAATGTGGTTCTAAATAATATTGAACACAGCTTATAAAGGTAAAAAGTTCAAATGGACCTGTTCCTAAACTTATATTATGGAGATACCTTTCACGTTCTATCAGTTTTGCTCATTACCTGTCCGAGATTGAAGGTGGCGTTCCACACAGGATAGTTTGAATACAAAACTGAAGTCTTTCGGTGGAGGGATCCGTACGACAATTTTACATAACTGAAGAGAAAAAAAACAAGAAAATTAGGATATTATAGGATATAATTTAGGAAAAACCAAGTATTCTTTATTTAAAAAAAATCATATATTATAAACAATATAATTATCTCATCATGACATCATCAACTTGCTCAGTTTTTTTATCCATTATATCTGATGTTAGTCAAACGTACAGTCCCAGAACAATTACATAATCACCACGTTCAGTCAGTGGTAACAGTTTTGTAAAGTACTTTATAAAAACTGAAGCACCATCCATCCATCTTGTTCCCCGTAATCAATTTCTGAGTCAGGGGGTGGCAGTCAGAGCTGCACCTGTCACGTGGGGTGAGATGAAGGAGCACTCAAAAGCAGGAATGCAATAATAATAAGAAAATAAAGTCCAAGGTAAAAATAAAACTCAAAAAGAAAAGGAACCAGGAACAGAACAGGACAGAACCAGCAACAATGGAAGGGGAAGGGCACAGGGTACACATAGACACACACAAACACAGGTGACACACATGAGAGCAGGGCAGATAATCAACAAGGAACAGGACAGGAACATTTATAACTCAAATGAAACCACAGAGAACTAAAATAAAAATACAACCAAATATGAGTAATAAAATCCACATTAGGATAGCACCAATTCACAGAGCACCCGCCCCTCACTGATTCTCCTGCAGGTGGTGAGTCCACAGGAGGATGGCTGCTCTGTCGATGATGCCACAGCCTTGATCTTTCAGCGGGGGCTTCAGGCAAAGTGGGGTTGAGTGTCTTGCCCAAGGACACAACAGCAGCAGTCGGTGAAGAAGGTCTCATGGTGGGGTCGACAACCTTCAGGCTCAAAGGCCATTGCTCTACCAACTGAGCCACTGCTGCCCCACTTTCAGTTACTTTGTGTATGAACTTTGCAATACAAATAAACTTGCCTATAAAGTTAGATAGAACAATAAAAAAAAGTGTACATGTTCGCCATTTGAAAGACACTTATTCCAGTCCATGTCGGCTTTCCTTCATTGGGTTACTTTTGAAGAGGGAGCCGAGTTACTTGGTCCCAGCTCAGAGAAGGCCTTGCCCCCTGCTTTTAAGTCTAGACGTTTTATAATAACCCTTAACAGCATTGTCGTAAATTGTTGAAAGGAGAGCAGTCAACTTATTAGATCACACTTTCAGAGTTATAAAATTAGATAAAATTAAAGGTTTTGGGTAAACATGTCTCTCTGCCTGAAGCTGCTGGAAAAACACAGCAAAGCATGAAGTTCTTTGAGTTGGTAACAGTTTTCCACAAAATTCTGCACCGGGAGAGAAAAACCTTGAGGTGTGTGAGAACCATATCTGTGAACAGCCCGCATGTGCACGTCCTGTGTTGATTGAAATCGGAAGTACAGTGGTCCCTCCTTTTTTGCAGGGATTACAGTCTAAAAATAACCAGCAATGATCAAAATCCTTGATTTAGCAGCTTGTGATGAGGCTGTACAATGCCTCATCACACACTTTGTCTGAACGATGCTGCAGCTGTCAAAAGCCGGGCAGGAGCAGGACTGAGGGCAATAGTCCGATGAACTAATCACCGCAATGCACACAATCCACACAAAAAAATTCGGACTTTAAATTAAGGTAACTGCCATGTAATGCTATAGCGGTCATAAGGTGTTGTTTATGATTTTGGAGTAAAGATTCAGAAAACTTTATTGATCCCAAAGGGCAATTCATTTGTAGCATAAACTCAAAACAGAACACATACTCTACACAAACACACAGTGAGTCTCACAGTTCACACACCATCAGGTTACACAAAATAAGTTAAAAAAACAACAATGAACAACTCAATTCCCAAACAGTCAACCACCTCTACCAGAGTTCAACAGTTTTATGGCAGAGGGCACAAAAGAATTGGAGAAACGGTTTTGTTTTTCGTGCTGGAGCATGTATACACACAGCAGGTGGGGAAAAAAACATAATTGCACAACAAATCTGCGAAACAGCAAGGTCTGCAAAGTCAGGAACCTATAAGGTAACATATTCTACATATTGCCCCTTTAAGCTGAAAGATAATAGAAAAAGATATTTAATAACTTCAATATATTTCAAAATACTGCTGACCTGTCTGAGTAGTCCCAGATATCTGCATCTCCTTCCAGCCGCCAGCCCCTGATAATGGTCACAGACAGGGTTCCTCTCATGGTGTTTGTGGGACAACAGCTGCTCCCACAAACCTCTTCATCTCCCACATTGGGGCTTTTCTCCTCCTTTCTCAGATAATCCATGATGGCGGCTCTCACTTGCGCCCTCTTCTCCGGGTGGGGGATCAGGTCGGACATGAGCCGGAGGGAGTACTGCACTACATCAGGGTGATCTTTGAGGGTCCTCAGCCACGTGTTATAGCCCAAGGAGTCATTGGACAGCAGGGAGATGTTGCCATGCCAACCCTTGCCCCCCACCACCTCTGTCTGGTGCTGGTGTAGGCCCATCCCGGAGGAGGTGGCCACGTCGATGTTCTGGAGGAAGTTTTCGCAAGAGTTTAGCTGCTTGCTCTACGTTCCCAAACCGACCGCTATACCTTGGGTTAAACACTGGTGAGCCTGCAACAGACAAAAGTGTAATTCAATTTAAAGAAAAACATTTTGTGAATGAATGCGATCTAATATCTTCAGTCAAAAATATATGTTGAAGAATTGTGTGTTTTTTTTTTTTTTTTACTGAAGTACTCATACTCCTGACGTTTTACTTTTATTCTCCACTTTTAAACCCATATATCAACTTTCTACTCCTTGGATTACTTTGACTTTTTTAGTGTTGGTGATCACGTGATGCCTTCTACCTCAGAGGAGGACAGGCCGTTCAGTCTGCACAAGCACGAGCGCAGCGCAGAGAACCTGGTGTAGCGCCCGCCCAGCGACACCTGATGCAGACAGCAGGAGAAGGACAGCATGAGTACATACAGTAAGCAGTACAGCAGGAGGACAACATGAAGAGGAGGACAGCAGGAGGACATGAAGACAGCAGGAGGACATGAAGACAGCAGGAGGACATGAAGACAGCAGGAGGACATGAAGACAGCAGGAGGACATGAAGAGAGCAGGAGGACATGAAGACAGCAGGAGGACATGAAGAGAGCAGGAGGACATGAAGACAGCAGGAGGACATGAAGACAGCAGGAGGACATACAGTAAGCAGTACAGCAGGAGGACATGAAGACAGCAGGAGGGCATACAGTAAGCAGTACAGCAGGAGGACATGAAGACAGCAGGAGGACATGAAGACAGCATGAGTACATACAGTAAGCAGTACAGCAGGAGGACAACATGAAGAGGAGGACAGCAGGTGGACATGAAGACAGCAGGAGGACATGAAGACAGCAGGAGGACATGAAGACAGCAGGAGGACATACAGTAAGCAGTACAGCAGGAGGACATGAAGACAGCAGGAGGGCATACAGTAAGCAGTACAGCAGGAGGACATGAAGACAGCAGGAGGACATGAAGACAGCATGAGTACATACAGTAAGCAGTACAGCAGGAGGACAACATGAAGAGGAGGACAGCAGGAGGACAACATGAAGAGGAGGACAGCAGGTGGATATGAAGACAGCAGGAGGACATGAAGACAGCAGGAGGACATGAAGACAGCAGGAGGACATGAAGACAGCAGGAGGACATGAAGACAGCAGGAGGACATGAAGAGAGCAGGAGGACATGAAGACAGCAGGAGGACATACAGTAAGCAGTACAGCAGGAGGACATGAAGACAGCAGGAGGGCATACAGTAAGCAGTACAGCAGGAGGACATGAAGACAGCAGGAGGACATGAAGACAGCAGGAGGACATGAAGACAGCAGGAGGACATGAAGACAGCAGGAAGACATGAAGACAGCAGGAGGACATGAAGACAGCAGGAGGACATGAAGACAGCAGGAGGACATGAAGACAGCAGGAGGACATGAAGAGAGCAGGAGGACATGAAGACAGCAGGAGGACATGAAGACAGCAGGAGGACATGAAGACAGCAGGAGGACATGAAGACAGCAGGAGGACATGAAGACAGCAGGAGGACATACAGTAAGCAGTACAGCAGGAGGACATGAAGACAGCAGGAGGACATACAGTAAGCAGTACAGCAGGAGGACATGAAGACAGCAGGAGGACATACAGTAAGCAGTACAGCAGGAGGACATGAAGACAGCAGGAGGACATGAAGACAGCAGGAGGACATACAGTAAGCAGTACAGCAGGAGGACATGAAGACAGCAGGAGGACATGAAGACAGCAGGAAGACATGAAGACAGCAGGAGGACATGAAGACAGCAGGAGGACATGAAGACAGCAGATGGTATGAGGAGGACAGCAGGAGGACATGAAGACAGCAGGAGGACATGAAGACAGCAGATGGGTATGAGGAGGACAGCAGGAGGACATGAGGATGACAAGAAGACAGCAGGAGGAGGACATGAGGACACCAGACAGAGAGGCAGAAAGCAGGAGGAGGAGAATTAATGTGAATCCGAGACACTGTCCCTGTTTAACATTGCGTTGTTCGAAAGGGACAGTGCAATGTCCCTTTTTAACAGTTTAAAAGGTCGGACTTTCAGAATCTAGTGTAGAAAAGTCCGACTAGAGGTGTCATGAGGGCAGTTTTTGGTGCCCCTCCTGTCTCTCACTCCCCTCCCCTTGTGTGTCTGTGAGTCTCCTCCCCCATTGCAGGTGCCTGCTGCGAGGGCCCACCTGTGTCTCATCAGGCCAATCGGGGAAAGTATTTGTTTGCTGGAAATCCACTCAGCCAGTGCCAGTTCGTCCCTTGACTGCGGTGAATCAACGAATTTTGTGAGACTTTTGAGAGACTGTTTTTTGGACTTGTTTAACGTGGTTTTTGTATTTTCCTCAGGTGGAGGACCTGCTTTCCCAGTACATTCCTGGAGCTTGTTTTGGACTTTATTTTTGTTCTCCAGTGATTTTTGTTTTATTAAATTGACTTGTTACTCCTTGGATCCGCGTTTGGAGTCTATTTTTTCAAACCACAACAGAACGAACTGGCCAAGATGAATCCAGCGGATCCTCCTCATGGTGACACACCTGCATCCATTAGAGAGGCTGTCTCTCATCAAGGAATCCTGCTAGGCCAGCATGAAGAAACGCTCAAATGTCTGTACTCACCAGCCATCTTTCATCCACAGCCTCTGCCCAGCCGCCCTCTCCCCCTGCCACTCCTCAGGACTCTATTGCCAAGCCTGAAGTGCCTGTTCCACATCCCGAGCCTTTTCATGGGGACCTGGGAAGCTGTAGAGGATTTTTACTACAGTGTTCGAACGTCTTTCAACTCCGGCCTGCCACCTTTTCAACAGATAAGTCTAAAATTCTGTTCATGGTGGGACTATTGCGTGGCAGGGCATTAACATGGGCAGAGGCAGAAGATTCTGATAGCCCCTTGGCCTCTATGGGGTTCAACTTTTTTATTGAGCGTTTTTGCCAAGTTTTTGACCACCCAAAGCGTCTTATTACAATACAGCAAGGAAGTCGCAGTGCAGCAGATTATTCTGTCGAGTTCCAAACCATGGCAGCCGATTCAGGATGGAATGACAAAGCGCTAAGGGAAATTTTTATTAAAGGACTAAATGAGCAGTTGAAGGACGAATTAGCCTGTAGAGACGAAGAGACCACTTTCAAATCTCTCATTTCCTTGGTGATTCGTTTAGATAATCGCCTACGTGAGCGTCGCCGCGAGAAGGCTGGACGTTCGAGACCCCCTCCAATGGTACATCGTCCTACAACTCTTCAAACCGCTGCTGAGGCTTTTCCACACACTGCTCCAGTTGAAACAGATGAACCCATGCAGCTGGGTAGAGCACACCTATCTCCTATGGAACGACAGCAGCGCTTGAGGTTAGGTCAGTGCTTCTATTGTGGGGAATCGGGCCACTTAATTGGTACTTGTCCTAGGAAGCCAAAAGACCAGACTCGCCAATAGCTCTGGGAGTATTGGTGAGTCATGCTGAATTAGAGACCCGTCCCAGACTATTACTGCCCGCAACTCTTAGACTTGGTTTTTTTTCTTGTCCCTTACCTGCGTTAATTGATTCTGGAGCTGAGGACAACTTCATCGATGTAGAGCTGGTAAAACAGTCTAAGATCCCAACCCAAGCACTTAAGTCTCCCATTAAAGCTAGCTCATTAAGTGGACAACTTTTGGCCAATATTACACACACTACGGTCCCGGTTACCCTTTGCCTCTCCGGAAACCACAGTGAGGAGATTCAGTTAAAGATTATTTCGTCTCCTCACACACCACTTGTGCTTGGGCATCCCTGGTTGAGTCTACACAACCCTTCCATTGACTGGTCTCAGGGTAGCATAACGGGTTGGAGTAACAGTTGTCACACTAACTGCCTCCGCTCCGCTGTAGTCTCAGTTCCCGATAGCCATTCTGAGACTCCCAGATTCCCTGATCTGTCTAATGTCCCTAAATGCTATCATGATTTGGTGGAGGTGTTTAGCAAAGAGAAGGCTCTGTCCCTACCTCCTCACCGCCCATATGACTGCGCTATCGAGCTGCTACCCGGGGCAACACTTCCCTCCAGTCGTCTTTACAATGTTTCACGCCCAGAGAGGGAAGCTATGGAAAAATACATAACAGAGTCTCTTTCGGCGGGCTTAATTCGTCAGTCTTCGTCCCCAGTCGGTGCTGGCTTTTTTTTTGTTGAAAAGAAAGACAAGTCATTACGACCCTGTATTGACTATCGTGGTTTGAACAACCCTCTGCCTTTGCTCATATCTGCTTTTGACCCATTACAAGGGGCAGTCATTTTCTCTAAGCTTGACCTGCGTAATGCTTACCACCTAGTTCGCATTAGAGAGGGTGACGAGTGGAAGACTGCTTTTAAGACTCCTATAGGGCACTTTGAATACCAAGTTATGCCCTTCGGTCTTACCAATGCCCCAGCAGTTTTTCAGGCTCTTGTTAATGACGTTCTCCGAGACTTCTTGGGTCGTTTTGTGTTTGTTTATCTGGACGACATTTTAATTTATTCCCAGTCCCCAGCCGAACATGTTAAACATGTCCGTCAGGTGCTACAGAGACTCCTAGAGAATAAGTTGTATGTTAAGGCAGAGAAGTGTGAGTTTCATTGCGACACTGTGTCTTTTTTGGGGTTTATAATTGAAGCAGGACAAGTGAGGCCCAATCCCCAAAAGATTAAGGCAGTTTTAGAATGGCCACAGCCAACCAGCCGCCGAAAGCTCCAACAGTTCCTTGGCTTTGCAAATTTCTACCGACGCTTCATTCGCAATTTCAGTTCTGTTGCCCAGCCGCTCTGCAAGCTGACCTCATCTTCTATTCCATTCTCCTGGACAGAGGAAGCTGAGTCAGCTTTCAGGAGATTAAAGGAACTTTTCACTACTGCTCCCGTGTTAATGCAAGGAGATCCGACTCGCCAGTTTGTTGTTGAGGTAGACGCCTCGGACTCTGGAGTGGGAGCCGTGCTCTCTCAAAGGTCTAGCTCGGATCAGAAACTGCATCCATGTGCCTTCTTCTCTCGACGTCTATCTCAGGCAGAGAGAAACTACGACGTCGGAAATCGTGAACTTTTAGCCATCAAATTGGCACTAGAGGAATGGAGGCACTGGCTTGAGGGAGCTGAACAACCGTTCATCGTTTGGACCGACCATAAGAATCTGTCTTACATTCAAACAGCCAAGAGACTTAATTCTAGACAGGCCCGGTGGGCGTTGTTTTTCAGCAGGTTCAACTTCACCTTAACATATCGTCCTGGAACTAGGAATGTCAAGCCAGATGCCCTTTCCCGCCAGTTCTCCTGTTCTGACACTCCTTCTAAACAGGAGAACATCCTCCCTTCAACTTGCGTTGTGGCAGCAATTTCCTGGGAGATTGAAGCAAGGATTATGGAAGCACAACGCACAGAACCAGACCCAGGTAATGGACCCGCTAACCGCCTCTATGTACCCAACTCTGTACGTTCTCAGGTTCTACAATGGGTCCACACTGCTCGCTTTTCCTGCCACCCTGGAATTTCTCGCATGTTGAATCTGCTCAAACGACGTTTCTGGTGGCACTCTATGGATGCGGACACCAGAAGGTACGTCCTTGCCTGCTCTGTCTGTGCCCGTAACAAGTCCTCTCATCGCCCGGCCTCTGGACTTCTCCAGCCGCTTCCAGTTCCCTCTAGGCCCTGGTCTCACATTTCCATGGACTTTGTCACAGGGTTGCCGCTGTCCCAAGGTAACTCGGTAATACTTACCATTGTTGACCGTTTCTCCAAAGCTGGTCATTTCGTAGCACTACCGAAGATCCCTACAGCTCTGGAGACGGCAAATCTCCTGGTGAACCATGTCTTCCGTCTACATGGGCTTCCTGCAGACATCGTCTCAGACCGTGGGCCACAGTTTACCTCTCAGGTATGGCAGCTGTTCTGCAAATCCATTGGTGCAACTGTCAGTCTCTCCTCAGGGTTCCACCCCCAAACTAATGGTCAGGCAGAGCGGGCTAATCAGGAGCTGGAGGCAGCACTAAGATGTGTGGCGGCAGACAACCCGACCCTATGGAGCACACACCTCCCCTGGGTTGAGTATGCTCATAATTCTCAATTGTGTTCTGCTACCGGGCTTACGCCTTTTGAAGCCTCTTTGGCCTATCAACCGCCACTCTTCCCAGAGCAGGAGCAGGAACTGATAATACCGTCTGTCCATCACTATCTCCGGCGTTGTCACAAGATTTGGAGAGACACTCGTGCAGCCCTTTTACGAACCACGGAACGCAACCGTGCTTTAGCTGACCGTCGTAGAACCCCAGCTCCAGACTATCAGCCAGGTCAGTTGGTCTGGTTGTCGTCTAAGCACATTCCTCTGAGGACGGAGTCTCGTAAGCTGTCTCCACGTTTTATTGGACCTTTCCCAGTGGAGAAGGTCGTTAACCCCATGGCCATTCGTCTGACTCTGCCACCCTCTATGAAGATACACCCAGTTTTTCATGTCTCCCAGCTCAGGCCCGTTTCCTCCAGTCCTCTGAGGACGGAGTCTCGTAAGCTGTCTCCACGTTTTATTGGACCTTTCCCAGTGGAGAAGGTCGTTAACCCCATGGCCATTCGTCTGACTCTGCCACCCTCTATGAAGATACACCCAGTTTTTCATGTCTCCCAGCTCAGGCCCGTTTCCTCCAGTCCTCTGAACCCTCCGGCCAGGCCCCCTTCCCCCCCCCCCCCCCCGGATCGTTGACGACGCGCCTGCCTACACCGTCCGCCGGCTGCTTGATGTGCGCAGGCGTGGTCGGGGGTTGCAGTACCTGGTGGATTGGGACGGCTACGGTCCGGAGGAGCGGTCCTGGGTTCCTCGCTCTGCTATCCTCGATCCGCGGTTGGTGCGGGACTTCCATCAGCGCCATCCGGAGAAGCCTGGGGGTCGCCGGGGGGCTCCCGTTAGAGGGGGGGTACTGTCATGAGGGCAGTTTTTGGTGCCCCTCCTGTCTCTCACTCCCCTCCCCTTGTGTGTCTGTGAGTCTCCTCCCCCATTGCAGGTGCCTGCTGCGAGGGCCCACCTGTGTCTCATCAGGCCAATCGGGGAAAGTATTTGTTTGCTGGAAATCCACTCAGCCAGTGCCAGTTCGTCCCTTGACTGCGATGAATCAACGAATTTTGTGAGACTTTTGAGAGACTGTTTTTTGGACTTGTTTAACGTGGTTTTTGTATTTTCCTCAGGTGGAGGACCTGCTTTCCCAGTACATTCCTGGAGCTTGTTTTGGACTTTATTTTTGTTCTCCAGTGATTTTTGTTTTATTAAATTGACTTGTTACTCCTTGGATCCGCGTTTGGAGTCTATTTTTTCAAACCACAACAAGAGGTCCACCACAGTAGCCATGTCTGACTGCTTGGTCATTGTCTGAAAGAATACAGAATAAAATAAACAAATTACACAAATGAATAAAATTAATTCAATTCAATTAATAACTAAAACTTCAATTTAAATACAGAAACACAAAATGTACCTGTCTGATGTAATGCGTGCCGTAGGTTTCCACAAGCTCTCTGTAGAGGCCCGTGGCCTGCTCTGTGTAGTGGTCTGGGAGACGGGACAAGGCCTCTGCAAACTCAGGGCTCAAAGGAGTGTGGCTGGAAACTCTCAATCTGCTCCAAAACCCACATGTCAGATGAAAGCCACAGTCTATTATTTTACTCATCTGCTCAAAAATGTAAACTGTATTTTTTTTCATTATGGTAGAAATATTTGTGAATGACATTGATGAACAGTAGTACATATTTCTTAAATTCTATAAAGGGACACTTAGGAACAGCAGATATACACCCCCCCCAGCCCTTCTGCTTAAGTACTTGTATCTCAAACTAGGTACAATTCACTGAATCCGCAGATTCAGTGAATCTATGATATAGGGTCAGAGAGTCTTTGGGGTCTTTGGGTCCGATTTTGATCTGGATCTGGTCTTCTGTCGAGTTTTAGGTCTGGTTTTGGTCCGGATCTGGTCTTGTGTCAAGTTTTGGGTCTGGTTTTGGTCCGAGTCTGGTCTTGCGTCTAATTTGGAGTCCGATCTTGAAATAGTTTTTTGTCTGATCTTGGTCCATTGTCTGATCTTTGTCTGGGGTATGCTCTTGGGTCTGGTCTGGGTCCATGTCTGGTCTTGGGGTCTGTAATGCCATGGAGAGAACTCATTTCAGCCTTTTTCAACCAACTTAAACGACAAACACTATGGAGGTGTTTAACTATTCACAAATGTGCTATAATAGACTGGAATAGACGTACTTGTAGTGGATGCAGGTGGCGCTGTAGTGGGCGAACGTGAACGTGTCCTGCTTCTCTAGAGCCAGAGCGGCCTTGTGATAACTATAATCTGTCCCCCAACTCTCCGTGGAGCTATTTTCCATATGACGCTGAAAGCAATCGAGAAGAAAAGAGGTTAAAATTGCTTAAAAAGTTAATTTTACGTATTTACAGTCCATGTCCAATTAAACACAATTCTCATCTCAGATCTCTCAAGTGCAAGATGAAACCAACAAGATGTGCATCAAAACTGGGGTACCTAAATTTAAGACCTCAAAAAAATAAAAGAAACTGAAATCCATGTAACTATACATAGCTCTAAAAATAGCGATGAATTATCACAGGTTTTCACAAGCATGTATATCCGGCCTCTGTCGCATCTTTAGATCAGCTATTTCTGACAGAAAAGTGAAATAGAGACGTCTTTTCTCACATGTATGCAAAAGATCTTTTGTAACAAGTTGAAGACAGCATGACTCCCCCATATGTTAGTTTTACATGACTCTTTATTTTGTTCTTTTAACATCCCAAATATTCTCAAAAAGTGGCATCTACAAGTAATCTTTTGTAATCCCCATAGCATTCAACATTTTAAACACCCTCAAACTCATAGAAGCGGACTCAGGAGATTGAACCACAGACTGTATAAAGACAATGCTAAGCTCAAGGGAGAACAAAAGGGAAGTAGTCGTGGACAAAGTTTTGCTTCAACTATCTCTGGCTATCCAATTAAGTTGAAAAGTTAACTCTTCTAGCTCAGTAACAGTTTATCACACTCACCATTTTGGGCCTTACCAATCTGTTTTTAGCGCACTCAGTGATGCAGGTGTTTATATTTTGTTTTTGTATTGTTTCCTTTGTAAATCCAGACATGAGCCATAAAAGGATTGGCCTTAAATCAAGTGGGAAACACCTTTGCTTGCCTTTGCAAACGTCTTAGCAACATGTCTGCCTGTTATGGCCCGAAGCTAACGCCACAGAAGAAATCCCCACAAGGAAACTGGCTCCAGTTATTGAAATTGGTCTGTTCTGCATTAAGGTTAACACTATGGTGATTTAAGTACTCCTTAAATACAGTCTATGGTTTGAGCACATCTTATTTGTTTCATTCCAAATCTATTGTGGTGATATAAAAGGTCATGCAGATGAAAAATAGCCTGCATTCTGGTGCATTTACAGAAATGTTTTATTAATGCACAATGTCCCTGTCAACTAAACTAATAAAATAAATAAATAAGAATTGTGTCATTACATATTGTCCCTATGATAAATGTCCCAATACTTAGAGCTGACAGTACACAGCTTTAGTTTACTTTAAAGTTGGAGATGGTTGCGTTGATGAATGCCCTGATGAATTGGCTGGAGACAGAGAAGAGATAATCAATAAGTGACATTTTCATTTCATACAGGTGAAACTGAAAAAAAATAGAATATAGTTCAAAAGACAAATTTCTCTGTAATTAAACATAAGAATCTAAGATATGATGGTCTCATCAAATACAAAGTGATACATATATATGATCTATATAGTTGTTGGTTATTAGCCTCAGTCCTGGATCTACAGCCTGTTTGTCCGTGGGAGCAGATCCCTCTCTCAATATGAACCCCTCAGAGGTTTCTTACATATTTCCCTTTGGATTTTTGGGTCTTTACTTACTGATGCACAAGGGTCTAAGGACATTTATGCAAATTAATTTACAAACAGTTATGCTTCTTTCTCTTTCTTATCAGTTGGATTCTCTAATTTGTTGTTGGCGAATCGACAACTTAGTAAAGTCCTCCGAGACCACCACTGTTGTTCCAGGAGCCCCCAAGGGATACTTGATCAAGTGTGCCTTGGTGCTGGGCATGGCTGTCTATAGTATGCATTGTACAATTCAAGACTAACTTTCCAACACTGCTTATGGGACTTGATACGAGATAAAATAATCAAAAAATAATTTATATTTTTATAACGATGAATATGATTTGACCAAAGACTAACTGACAATTCTCACACTTATACCTGGCTGAAGACATCTGTGACGTATGGATCTCTGAGGGGCACTTTGGGAAGGATCGCCATCCTGTGGCTGAGAGGGGAAGCTGCAACACAGAGACAACAGTCAGAGACACACAAAAGTACAAGTCACTAGAACAAGTTTCTAAAAACAGCATCAGTAGCAAATAGTAATCTCAAACATGCAGCCCGGGCGCCACAAAGGTATTTTGCGTTTGAAGCCCTCTCGAAGCCCTCCAAAGGACCAAGCAAGTTTCTTCAGCCAAGCCTGCTGCACTTTTTATAAATATTATAAATATACATATATTGCCCTTTTTGGTGTCTCACATCTGCCCTAACAGACCTTACACCAATGAGCACAGGCCATTGATTTGATCGGGCAGACATTTAGGATATCTAGAGCTAGTGACAGTAGAAAGAGTTTTGAGGACCCTCTCGAAAACAAGATGATGCATCTCAAGGGGCTTTTTCTCGTAATAAAGATATGTTAAATGCGACCACCCGTGCACGTGTAGATTAGAGCAGACAAGAATGAGCCAAGTTTGTTGCGCAATTGTATGGATTTATAGGATTTCAAAAGGAAATCTGTTTGGGATGATGAGGGACATTATAATCCTTATGAGAAAGTTTAAGGTTCTATATAATGAACCAATTTCTTTGAATGGAAATTTAATCAAATGAGGAGTTTACTTTTCACTTCACTCACTTTTGTCAATCAATAGGCATCATTGAGCTATAGGGGTTCAGCATTGTCCATCTACTTACAGTTTTTGCTTAATGTACAAAAGCGGTGTTCCAGTGGACGCATACCTTCTGCAGCTGGCCTCCTTGCTGTAGGTTTTCCAGCAGCGTGCATTTATACTGGTTGGTCAGGTTGGTCTTCAGGTCCATCAGGTGGGCTTCTTTCCTTTGCAGGGAGAGCACATCGAAGCCCCGTCCTAGCTGGTGATGTCCCGGGACAAAGGGGGCAGCGTGGCACTGCTCACCCGTACCAGTGTGCAGTGATGATGAGGAGGAGTGAAGCTGTGTCCATAGAAAGAGGAGAGCAACCGGAGGAGCACAGCTTCTCAGCATCACGGTTTCAGCTCACAAACACAGCAAGAACAACCTGGGTCAGAATCAGATGTTTTTAGTGTAAATATTACTTTTTTGGCCAGAAATCGAGTTTGTATGGAAAAACATATTGAAATCCACACAAAGCACAGCACTGTAGTCCCATTCTGAATGCATTCTATAGTTTGACACAACTGAAAAAAATTCATTCTCTATGAACTTGGTGTATGTGGTCAGATAATATGATATGTGAGCAGTGTACGGGTTAGGGTTAATAACATCTGAAATACTCTTCACAAACATTACACCAGACTGCACTTTGTTCACAGTGTTTGTCCAGTTGGATCTCGACAGAAAATGTGTTTTCTGCTTTATTTCACGTGTTTCTATATAAGCCAGGATTGTAGCAATATTTGTAGCTGTAATGAATGTGCTATTTCATCGCCATTTACTGATTAACCCTACACTTATTTACAGTTTAAAAGAAAAGTGATAGTTTACCCGAGTGACGGTCTGTGTAGTTTCTCAATGACTTTTCCAACTGGATTCATGCAGCTGATCAAATAAGGACGTCCTACTTTCAGTGAAAACCAATTACATAGTTTCACATTTCATTCTGTTTTTTAGTCAAGACATTTGCAAAAATAAACATGGTAAACCAGTGTTACCAAGTGTCTAACATAATAAAGAGACTTAAAGTGACAGTATGACGAGTTGCACATTAAAATAGCAGAGAGACCCCAGTTACCTAATGTAACTAAGGTTCTATGAATATGTTGCGAAGCCCTTTAGGCTGATGCATATCTCTTGGAAGCATCGCTTCCCGCCCTGAGAAGATCAAACGATCCACCCTCCAATCACCTTCACGTCCTGGCGTAGGCCAGTCCCCTATAAATAGGGCCATGGACCACAGCTCTTCTCCTTTCGAACTCAGCCGAATAAGAGAGGGCAGGTCTGCTGGGCTCGAAGCTAAAGGGCTTCGCAACATATTCATAGAACCTTAGTTACATTAGGTAAATGGGGTTTCTATTTCATATGTTGCTTCGCCCTTTAGGCTTCGCTAATGCATAACATAGCGAAGCCCAGACCGATGTACTCCCAGCAGGCATGAACTCCGGTGATTGGAGAAAACTCGTGACCCACGTGCTCATACCGCAACTAAGCGGTAGAGACGGAGGTCCTACGAGCCATAGAGAAAGGGATGCAGGGCCACCTCTCCCAAGAGTGCCCGCGCATTCCCCAACCTGCAAAGCAGGAAAGAATTCAGAACAAACCTGGGCAGGCAGCCTCTCCCAAGAGCGCCTGATCCCCAGGATGGTAAAGCAGACTGCAGAAGGGAATAGGCCGCCTCTCACAAGAGCGCCTATCCTTACTGCAGAGGTGTCCAGGCCGCCTCTCCCAAGAGCGCCAACACCTCTCCACACAACCCCCCCCCTGCAGACCAGTTCTCACCGAGGTCTGTCGAAGGAGGAACTAGGGCCGCCCTGCACTCAAAACCCAATGAGTCACAGAGTCAGAGGCCACCTCCAGTAGGTAAAACTGCACAAAAGTCGAGGAGGAGGACCAAGACGCCGCTCTGCAGATCTCCTCCACCGAAGTGCCATGGAACAAAGCCACCGAAGCGGTAACCCTGTGAGTGGAGTGAGCCCTCAACTGGGCTGGAGGCAGCAAGCCCTGAGCTTCATACGCCAAACGGATAGCAAGGCGAAGCCAGTGAGCCAAGTGCTGTGGAGACAAAGCAGCAGCCTGACTCCTGGTGCCAAACCCCACAAACAACTGATCCGACCGTCTGAGGTCAGACGTGCGGTCCAAATAGCATCTCACAGCCCTGACCGGGCAGAGACTATGCCGCTGCTCTTCCTCCGCCGAAGCATGCGGAGGAGGGAAAAACGGTCTCACCCTGACCACCCTAGATCTGAAAGACGACGTGATGACCTTGGGCTGGAAGGCCGGGCTAGGGCACAACTCCATCATGCCCTCCCGATCGAGGAGGGAGAAACAAGACGGCTGCACGGAAAAGGCGCACAGATCCCCAGACCTCTTGGCCGAAGCCCACGCCAACAACAATACCGTTTTGTATGACAAACAGGCAATGGTCGCATTGTCCAGGGGTTCAAATAGAGGCCCTGAAAGGCCAGCCAAGACCACCTGAAGGTCCCAAGACGGAGCCGACCGCCGGAGGGGAGGCCTGATCCTGCGGGCCCCTCGTAGGAAGCGCGCAGAGTGGCTACCAAACCCCACGTGCCCAGTGGTAATGGCCGCCGCGAACACACCCAGAGTGGCGGCCGCCCTTCATCTTCTCCAGCAAGAACTGGAGAAAAGCCAAGACCTCCTGGATGAAACACTAGGTGGGGTCCAACATCTGTCCACGCACCAAGAGGCGAAGAGTTTCCAGCGAACCTCATACGCCCACCCTGAATAGTAGCGACCACTGAGGGAGGGAGACCAAGGCTCAACATGAACCTGCTTCCCAGGACAGGGCAGGAGTAAAGGGCTCCCCCTGCCTGTCTCAGAGCATCGGGACGGTCTGGAACGGGCCTAGGCGGACTGAGCGCCATGCTCACCAGGTCCGGATAGCACCTGGCTTCCGGGCTGTCCGGCGCCACCACCAGGAGGGAGACCCCCTCCGTCCTCACCTTGTAAAGCAGGGCTGCCAAGAGCCGGAGAGGCGGGAAGGCGTGGAGGAGACCGCTGGGCCACGACCGGTGCGCCATGGCGTCCACCCCGAGAGGGGGCTCGTTGCTGGACCTGAGCGAGAACCAGAGTGGGCACTGTGCGTTCTCTGCATTTGGGAAAAGGTCGGCCACCGGTGTCCCGAACCGGAGCCAGACCTCTGCCACGACTGCTGGGGCGAGACCCCACTCGTCCCGCAAGGCCCCGCCCCTGGACATCCTGTCGGCGGCCACGTTACGCTCGCCTGGGATGTCACGGGCCCTCAGAGAGGCTAGGTGAATGTCCGCCCACAGAAGAACCTCCACTGCCAGCCTGTGAAGGGCGGGGGACCTGTTCCCCCCATGCCTGTTCAGGTATGCTGCCACAGTGGTGTTGTCCGTCCGAACGATCACCTGTTGGCCCTCCAGTCTGGTCACGAAATGGGCCAGCACCAACCGCATCGCCTCCAACTCCAGGAGGTTGATCTGCCCCAAGAGGGAGGACCAAACGCCTCCTGTCGAGTGGTGGCCGAGCACGCCTCCACAACCACTCACTGCCAGCCTGTGAAGGGCGGGGGACCTGTTCCCCCCATGCCTGTTCAGGTATGCTGCCACAGTGGTGTTGTCCGTCCGAACGATCACCTGTTGGCCCTCCAGTCTGGTCACGAAATGGGCCAGCACCAACCGCATCGCCTCCAACTCCAGGAGGTTGATCTGCCCCAAGAGGGAGGACCAAACGCCTCCTGTCGAGTGGTGGCCGAGCACGCCTCCACAACCACTCAGTGAGGCGTCCGTGAAGACCTCGATGTTGTGGTCCACAACACCCATTCGAACCCCCTCCTGGAGTCAACCTGGGGACACCCAGAAGGCGACGGCGTTCTGAGCCCTCACCGACAGTCGCTCCCTCCTTGATAAGCCCCTGAGGTGTGAGAACCACCTCTGGAGATATCGCATGTGCAGCAACCCCAGTCTCACCACTGGATGGGCCGCTGCCATCATGCCGAAGAGTGACTGGATCTGTCGAGGTTGGACTAGAGGTTCGCCCAGAACGATCCGGCCCAGGTTCTGAACCGCCGCTTCTCCCTCTGGCGAGAGTGAAGCCGTCATGCTCCTGGAATTCAAGCCCAGTCCCAGATACGAGATCTCCTGGGCCGGGCACAGGGAGCTTTTGTCCCTATTGATCACAAACCCTAGGTGGGCACGTGGTTTAACACTCTGGACGTTTGATCCTGCGCATCCTCCCGGGAGGACAGGATCACCATTCGTTGATATACGTCAGTGTCCTGAGGCCCTGATGCCGAAGGGGTTCTAGCGCCGCCTCCACACACTTGGAGAAGGTGCGGGGGGGCTAGGGAGTAGCCGAGTGGGGGACCGGAGGAACTTCTTGTGCCCCTGTGCAATGGATTTGTGGAAATTTGCGTCCTTGAGGTCCACGGAGGACCTCCAGTCCCCGGGCCTGACGCTCAGGAGTAGCTGTTGACTGTGAGCATGCGAAACGGTCGCTTGGCTATGCAGCCATTGAGGACGAGCAGGTCCAGCATGGCCCGCACCCCTCCGCACTTTTTTTGGGGACTATGAAGTATGGAGAGTAAAACCCTGTCCCTGCCCTGAGCGGGTCTACCTCCACTACCGCCCGGCGCTGCAGAAGCGCGTTGACCTCCCTGTGAAGCGCCACGGCGTTCTCCGGGCTGCCTAGCCCTGTCTGGAGAATGCCGCAGAAAGGAGGGGGCCGCCAGGAGAACTGGAGAGCATAGCCCCGACTCAGCACTCAGTGTATCCACGGAGTTCCCCGGAGCCCCGACTGTTCCGATACGGTGACAACATGGGTCAAGGGAAGCACAGCGGGATGGGAGGAGGGAGAAAGGCCTGGTCCGCCCACAGATGTCCCATCCTGGGGAGGCATCGGATAGTGGGGGGCCCGTGGGATAAGGCCTGAGCCCTAGCTACGGCCCTGGGCCTTTTTCTGGGTGGCCGCATGAGGGCAGGTGTGCTGCACTTACGTGGAGCCGAGCCCCTGCTCCCCAACACTGTGGACTGAGAGGGGGCCGAGCAGTCCCGCTTATTGCAGTGGGGGGCCCCTGGGAAGAGGGCTGGGCCCTTGTTGCGGCCCTAGGCCTTTTCCCGGGTGGCTGCGTGAGGGCAGGTGTGCTGCGCTTACGTGGAGACCCGGGCCCCCGCTCCCCAACACTGTGGACTGAGAGGGGGCCGAGCAGTTCCACTTATTACAGTAGGGGGCCCCTAGGAAGAGGGCTTGGCCCTAGCTGCGGCCCTGGGCCTTTTTCCAGGTGGCCGCGTGAGGGCAGGTGTGCTGCGCTTTCGTGGAGCCGAGCCCCCGCTCCACAACACTGTGGACTGAGAGGGGGCCGAGCAGTCCCACCTTTTTGCAGTGGGGGGGCCCCTGGGAAGAGGGCTGGGCCCTGGGAAGAGGGCTGGGCCCTAGCTGCGGCCCTGGGCCTTTTTCCGGGTGGCCGCTTGGAGCCGAGCCCCCGCTCCCCAACACTGTGGACTGATAGGGGGCCGAGCAGTCCCACTTTTTGCAGTGGGAGGCCCCTGGGAAGAGGGCTGGGCCCTAGCTGCTGCCCTGGGCCCTTTTTCTGGGTGGCCACGTGAGGGCAGATGTGCTGCGCTTATGTGGAGGAACTTCTTCTGCCCCCGTGCAATGGATTTGTGGAAATTCGCGTCCTTGAGGTCCAAGGAGGACCTCCAGTCCCCGGGTCTGACGCTCAGGAGTAGCTGTTGACTGAGAGCATGCGAAACGGTTGCTTGGCTATGCAGCCATTGAGCCGAGCCCCCGCTCCCCAACATTGTGGACTGAGGGGGGCGAGCAGTACCACTCATTGCTCTGGATAGTGGGGGACCGCTGGAAAAAGGTCTGAGCCCTAGCTGCGGCCCTGTCTTTTACCGGGTAGCAGCGTGAGGGCAGGACAGCTGTGAGCTGGTGCTCGTGGCGCACAGAGAGCGTAGGAGGGTAGCGTGCAGCCGCGCACTCTCTGCCCAAGAGAGGCAAAGGCACGGGGAGCGCACAGCGGTCCCGGAGCATGCCTCCAGCGCGCGCACGAGAGGCGGGCTGAGAGAGGCTCCAGGCACTTGGCAGATGAGCAGCGTTGGCCAAGCGCTGAGAATAAGGAAAAGGGGAAAGAAGTGTTATCTTTGAGGGAGTAACGGGCCTGATGACGGCCTTTATTAAAGTGTTTCCCTCCCCTCCTTGCAGCTGCAAAGCCGGGGTGGCTGCTGCTCCTCTGCTTGTCACGCGCTTGGACCCAGGGAGCCTCTGGGCTCTGAGCGGTGCGGGGTGGCAGAGCGGTCCCTGTCCGAGGGATGCAGCGAGGAGAGTAATGTTATAAGCCATAGCAACAACCTATGATGCAAGCATAACACCTGCCAAGCATGGACACGGCCTGCTTGCCCCGCTGAGTTAAGCTAGGACAACCATCTGTGGTGTATTAGCTACAGTGCCTTGCGAAAGTATTCGGCCCCCTTGAACCTTTCAATATTTCGCCACATTTCAAGCTTCAAACATAAAGATATAAAATTTTAATTTTTTGTCATGAATCAACAACAAGTGGGACACAATCGTGAAGTGGAACGGCACCTCAATTCTTTGTCCTAATGTCAGTGTGCTCTCTCGTACATTAACTACTGCCGGGGTACTGTGTGTGCTTAGACTTTCCCATGATAAAACGTACATGGTACTGACCTTCATTGTCTATGAGCTCAGCTAGAACAGTGCTCTTATTACAGCCTCTGAGAAAATACACAATATATATTATTTTTCATTGCACTTAATGAAACTGGGCTATAACACCTTCTGATCTGCAAATCTTCAAGGGCCTTTAACTTGTAGTACTAAGGTCTGGATTTGCTCCATTGAGTTCCGTTAAATGAAATGTGTACGATGGCGTGGTAAGACCGGTCTAGGCCAGCATTGCCCTGGTATAATACCCTGCTACACTCTCTAAAACAGAACGTTAGAAAGCTGGAGAGGCTATGTCCCACGCAGAGCTTGCCCACAGAGAGTGGAGAACAAGTTTCCGAAACTACAAGAGTGCCCTTTGCAGGGCTCAAACTCAATACTATTCAACTCCGCACTGCATTCGCGCACCACTAGAGGGGGCCCTGGTCCTCGCCACACGGTGACCACAGCTGTGGTTCAATGTGAGGGTGATAATACCTATCTTTGCTTTACCACTTTGAAGTCAAGTTTTGTTTAAGGTCATAAAGCTGGCAAACCCTATTTCCACAATTATTTAACATTCTCACAAATACTGAATGATTAAGAAAGGATCTCTTAGTCCATTCCTTTTCCAGATATAGTATTTGTGAGAGTGTGAAATATTTGTTGAAATAGAGTTTGCCAGCTTTATGTGTTAATGTGTTTGTGTTTATATGTGGGTGTGACGTGTGAGAGGATTTAGAGTGGCTCAGCTGTTTTTACAATGTTTTGCTGCTTTGGTCTTGTTTGTGTCCGTTGGCCTCCATGTTGTAATGAAAAGAAATACACATCTCAATGCCTTGCCTAAGACTTTTATTATGTTTAGAAGGGAAGCATTTAAAGCAGAAACACAGACTAACATTTCAGTGCATTTCGTGCATTCTGCAGCCGTCCAGATGGAGACGCTGCTTTCGCTTGGTTCCATCTGGATGTGGTGGTTTTGCCCAAAACATTCCATATTATGAAATTTAAAACCTTTTAAAGGATGGGTGACGTCAGCGCTCGGTTAGTCCACTGTTATTATACAGCCTAAAATGGATTCAGCCTTAGTAAAAATCTCTAAGATTTGACTTTGGTTGAGGTTAGTTTCATATATTTTTGAGGAGGTTAACAAGCAAAACAATGACATCAACAAGTGATTAGAAGAGAGAATTTTTTTTTTTTAACAAAATATTTATTCTTGAAAAATCTGCAAATAAATTGGGCTGATTTCTTTTTTTATCATGGAAGGTGATCTGGGGAAAATTACAATTTGACTTTAAACAACATTTCCAAAACATAATTATAATGAGTTCTAAGAGTGAGTGATTTTTTTGTTTGTAAAAATCTACCAAAAAGATCCATATTCAATCAAAGTAATCATATGTTGAAAATACTTCCATATGGTGAGTAAGGAACTTCAAATAAAAGCTTGGATATATTTCATGTTTCCCTTTTTATTAACAAGTACATTAGCATTAACTTCTACCTTACACATAATTGCGCCAAATAATAAGCAGAAGTCAAGCATCAAGAAAATCTGCATCGGCCTCGATCCCTTGTAATGAGCTCACAGCGGGAGCTTTAAAGAGACACGCTGTTTTCCATGAATTTGGGCCCCATGCTTGTGTATGGGAACTTCAGCTTTGCGTTCCTCATGTCAATAACTGCATCCAGATCTGCCAGCTCCTTTTGAAACTTCTCAATCAGAAAGCGGCAGTAGTCCTCTGTGAAAAGCTCTTGAGGGTACTGGCCAATCGCAACCTGTTCAAACAAAACAACAACTGTAGGTATAGAATTATGATTACATTCTATCCAAATCAGCACAAACTTACAAAGTCGACTGTGGACTGTGTGCTGAGCAGCTTGAGGGTTGCCAAGATGTTCACGGTGGCATTGACGTCAGGGAGAATCATCAGGAGTGTGTTCTCAGTCACATTGCCCTTCACGGTCGGTGGAGGAAGTTGTAAAGTACTTGGAAAGTTGGGCATCCAATTCCCAAAGCTGATCTGTAAGTCATACAAATGCTTTATAAGTAACAACATATGTCTATGTCATTTTTTTCAGTTGAATCTGCCTTAGGCCTATAGACTGGATGGTGAGTGACATCACACAGACAAGATGATCAGGGATGATAGAGTTGTTTCGTTAAGGTATCTGAATAATCAGCATGATACATACATGTAGTGCTCAAATAGACGAAAGAAGGACATTTCATAGTGACTTAACTACATAAATCACAGAAACAACAGTTCAAACAGCTGTCATTCCTTTGAAAATGTGAACCGTGTTTAAAAAAAAATAGTAAACTAAATCATGGATTTTCAAAGCCCATTTTTTGTGAGAGCGACAAATGTTTGTGTAAGCTCTCAGTTGTACAAGGAGAGGTCAAAGCAAAAGAAGGCTTCTGACCCATCATCTGTACTACTTAGCAGGTAACCTGCTAAGAAGTGCAGATGATGGGTCAGAAGCTTCCTTTTGCAGCGAAACAAATGCTTATGGAACTAGAAAAGTTTACTTTTCAATCTAAGTCAATAGGAGCCTGGGCTAGTTTGTCCATGAGCACTTCCTTATTGGGTTTCATTTAGCTCGGTGGATATCATTGTCCATCTGCAGTATATACAGTGCAGGGCATTGTCTAGTGTGTGTATATAGTAGAGGTGCACCGATTGGTGACCGATTAATCGGCCGATCAGGGCTTAAGTTGCGTGATCGGTGAAATGTGCCGATCAAAAAGACCGATCAGATGACATGATTTAATCAGTTTAGAAATGCAACCTATACAGTATTGCTGTATGTCATTGCATTTTTTTGGATGTACAGTGCCTTGCGAAAGTATTCGGCCCCCTTGAACCTTTCAACATTTCGCCACATTTCAGGCTTCAAACATAAAGATATAAAAAAAATATTTTTTGTCATGAATCAACAAGTGGGACACAATCGTGAAGTGGAACGACATTTATTGGATAATTTAAACTTTAACAAATAAAAAACTGAAAAGTGGGGTGTGCAATATTATTCGGCCCCTTTACTTTCAGTGCAGCAAACTCACTCCAGAAGTTCAGTGAGGATCTTTGAATGATCCAATGTTGTCCTAAATGACTGATGATGATAAATAGAATGCACCTGTGTGTAATCAAGTCTCCGTATAAATGCACCTGCTCTTTGATAGTCTCAGGGTTCTGTTTAAAGCGCAGAGAGAACCATGAAGACAAAGGAACACACCAGGCAGGTCCGAGATACTGTTGTGGAGAAGTTTAAAGCCGGATTTGGATACAAAAAGATTTCCCAAGCTTTAAACATCTCAAGGAGCACTGTGCAAGCAATTATATTGAAATGGAAGGAGTATCAGACCACTGCAAATCTACCAAGACCCGGCCGTCCCTCCAAACTTTCATCTCAAACAAGGAGAGGACTGATCAGAGATGCATCCAAGAGGCCCATGATCACTCTGGATGAACTGCAGATAACTACATCTGAGGTGGGAGAGTCTGTCCATAGGATAACAATCAGTCGTGCACTGCACAAATCTGGCCTTTATGGAAGAGTGGCAAGAAGAAAGCCATTTCTCAAAGATATCCATAAAAAGTCTCGTTTAAAGTTTGCCACAAGCCACCTGGGAGACACACCAAACATGTGGAAGAAGGTGCTCTGGTCAGATGAAACCAAAATTGAACTTTTTGGCCACAATGCAAAACGATATGTTTGGCGTAACAGCAACACAGCTCATCACCCTGAACACACCATCCCCACTGTCAAACATGGTGGTGGCAGCATCATGGTTTGGGCCTGCTTTTCTTCAGCAGGGACAGGGAAGATGGCTAAAATTGATGGGAAGATGGATGGAGCCAAATACAGGACCATTCTGGAAGAAAACCTGTTGGAGTCTGCAAAAGACCTGAGACTGGGACGGAGATTTATCTTCCAACAGGACAATGATCCAAAACATAAAGCCAAATCTACAATGGAATGGTTCACAAATAGACGTATCCAGGTGTTAGAATGGCCAAGTCAAAGTCCAGACCTGAATCCAATCGAGAATCTGTGGAAAGAGCTGAAGACTGCTGTTCACAAACGCTCTCCATCCAACCTCACTGAGCTCGAGCTGTTTTGCAAGAAAGAATGGGCAAGATTTCCAGTCTCTCGATGTGCAAAACTGATAGAGACATACTCCAAGCGACTTGCAGCTGTAATTGTAGCAAAAGGTGGCGCTACAAAGTATTAGCGCAAGGGGGCCGAATAATATTGCACGCCCCACTTCTCAGTTTTTTGTTAAAAATTTTAAATTATCCAATAAATTTCGTTCCACTTCACAATTGTGTCCCACTTGTTGTTTCTTGACAAAAAATTAAATTTTTATATCTTTATGTTTGAAGCCTGAAATGTGGCGAAATGTTGAAAGGTTCAAGGGGGCCGAATACTTTCGCAAGGCACTGTACAGTATCTCAATGCTCTGTGTTTCTCAACCTTTTTGAGTACCCCTAGGGCATTTTATTTATACTACCTATTACCTTGATGGTTTTGAAAGATTAGTTATAAAGTGAATAACTAGTCCTATTCATTTATCACTAACATCAATATTTGATCGGAACGCAATGATCGGTATCGGCAGATCAAATTTGATGATTGGCCAAAAAATTCCTGATCGCTGCACCTCTAGTATATTGTCTAATAGTAATCGTAACTGTTACACCCTAGCTCTACAGGTGCAACATAAAGGACAACAGGCACCTAAAAGTTAATATAATTTATTAACAGAAACAAAAGTCTAGGGAGATAACACAAAGAAAACCAAAAAGGGGAAGGCAGGTGTGGTGGTGAGCAGGGCTGCTGCTGCCAGGACAGAGAGAGAGAGCGATGGGTGGAGTCAGGGTGTGGTCTTATAGACTCCCAGCAGGGAACCTGATGCAGGCTGGAAATCCTGGAAGTGGATCCTGGCACTGGAACAGGTCTGCATGGCAGCTCCACATAACACCCCCATCCATAAGCAAGTTGATCTCAAATCAACATGCAAACTGAAGGCTCCAATCCTCCAATAACGCAGCGGTCCAGAGAGACACCACATCTTGGACCCAGGATGATGAGTGGATTGGTCAGAAACAGGCCACAGCAACCACAGATAAACTGGAAAAAAACTCGATGTCTCAATGTCTGAAGAGACCAGAGCAGATGAAGGAGCAGGATCCAGATCAGGAACAGTCACTCAGGAGCAGGGGAGGCCGGCCGGTCTGCAGAGGGTTGAAGCAGGCCTCTCTCAACTAAAACAGCTCTCACCTTGTCCCTAACATGTTCCTTCAAATATTTGTTCCAACCAGTGGTGTCAAGATCATAAAATGCAGCTAAACTCAACAATTGTTCTTTGGTGAACTTCTCAAATAGCTGCACCGACGGTGACTGAACAAAATCTGACACAGAAGCCATAGTTACGGTCTCAAAATCACTGGGCAAAAAAACAAAAATCTCAAAATGTGCATTAAATGCACAACGAAGTGTCCCAAAATACACAAAAGCAGCTGACACGAATGCTCTCTCATCACACAAGTAGGTTCACACAACTAAGCCACAACAGTAGCAACAAATGGATCCACTCAGTCAGTACCAAACTGCTAGACTCCATCAAACCTACAAAACGTCAAGAAACACACTAAACTTGACAAAACAAAAGCTGCACACAAGTTAGGATCAAGGACACAAACGAAGCTCACCATAACTCACCTAACTTAACACAATGCTCTCCACACAACAAAGCTGACTGCACCACACAAAAAATGGCTCCCTGGTACCTACCAAAGCAGAACTAAAGCCTGAGTATCTTCTGAGGAGTGCCGGGCTAGAGGTGGCTTTAAAAGCAGAACATCAGTGACCAGGCTTGGCCCTGACTTGCTTACCCCTGACAGGGACGGATTCCCCACCCAGGATTTCCTCAAAAATAAAAAAAACTTAGATTGAAGAATCCCTCCTTAGTCTAACCAGGGAGACCAACTAACCACTCAGCAACAAAAAGGAGAGCCTAATCTGGCACAACTAAAGCAGCCCTTCCACACAAACTTACCCCAAACTGAATCAACTGAGATGGATGAACAAAAACTTACAAGGTTCAACCAAGAGACGAGCCCCCAATATGTTACACCCTGGCTCTACAGGTGCAACATAAAGGACAACAGGCACCTAAAAGTTAATATAATTTATTAACAGAAACAAAAGTCTAGGGAGATAACACAAAGAAAACCAAAAAGGGGAAGGCAGGTGTGGTGGTGAGCAGGGCTGCTGCTGCCAGGACAGAGAGAGAGAGCGATGGGTGGAGTCAGGGTGTGGTCTTATAGACTCCCAGCAGGGAACCTGATGCAGGCTGGAAATCCTGGAAGTGGATCCTGGCACTGGAACAGGTCTGCATGGCAGCTCCACATAACAGTAACAGTTTGAGTTTTTTTGTGTTAAAGTGTTAAACAGGGTGGAAGTGGAGGCCTCCAGCTCACCTGCCCAGAGTTGACAGCAGAGTGCTGGGCTGAGGAGGTGAAAATGACCATAGTGACAAACTTCACAAGCTCGCCCACAGTGTTGAAGCTCTGGGGGATCCCTGGAACACAATCGTCCTCAGTAATACATTAGGAGTCCTCATCGTGCAGATTTTCGGATAACTTACCAGACTCAGTTTTAGACAGGAAGCCATGTTCAAATATGTCCTGGATATAAGCCTGCAGCTCGGTGTCTTGCTGGATGTCCGTGTCCAGCTTATAGTAGTGGTTTATCACTCCTGCCACAAACCTGTCCAAACAGGTAATTGTTTCAGTGGGGGTCTCCTGATGCCTGCCCTCACCATGACAACTGCACCACTCATTACATGCACATTGCAATAGAAAAAAATGGCTTGAATTAGTATAAATTGTTTTGATTTTTTTTCTTTTAATGGCTTGAAGCAAGTTTTGCCAACCTGAAAAACAATTGTTTTTAAAGAAACAATTCTCAATTGGAATAACACAAAATGGCTACGGCTCTATAAATAAAATGTTTTGCCGATCTTAAAAGGGACAGTATGCAATATGCACAATTAGTGGTCTAAATAGAGATCTAATTACAATCACACTTTCGAGACATGTAGCTCAACTCACAACTCACTTTTTGTTTGCTGATAAACGGTATAAATGAGTGTCCAATAGTGTTGTGTACATATCCTGGTCATAATTTTGTCACTTTGGTGCAAATTAGTTGAAAGATCAACTTTCTGCCTAAAACCGTCTGAGGCGCCATCTGCAGGCGACCTGTATTACTACATTTGAATTTTGAATCTGGCGCCACCATTGGCGCAGCAGTGGCTGCTTTCGTCTGCAGTGGCTCGTCAGTTTCCCTGAGGTATATAACTGGCCCAGTCTCGTTCACACCCCTGTAGCGAGTTGGAGAAGGAATGGGCTATATGCACGGAGAGGCGTGGCGTTATTTCCTGTCAACAAAGCATAGCCCGTTCACTTCCTGCCTATGCTATTGCTATGGCTTTTAGGTGAGTTGTAGTGACGTTTTTTACTAAGTAGATTGATCCATTCAGCTGTGAGATTGACCCAAAAGTGTCGACGTGCTTCCTCACTGAGGAATAGCTTTGACTGTGGCCAAACTTTATAAAACTTTTAACTAAAAAGTTGTTAACTTTTTTAGTTACATTTCTAAAAGCACAATGACAGCACAATCAAAAAGCACTGCCGTGTCCCAAAAATGCCCAGTATCCTCACAGTTTAATTCCCGTTTGAGCATTATTTAGGAAACTCGTGTAAACATCTGCTGAAGTCCAGTGAAACTCAAGCCGTTCCCCGCGCATAGGAAGTGGTCTTATAACTAAAACGCGGAAGTGGTGCGTGCATAGAGCCCATAGCAAAGAGTATTTATCGATTGTCAGGTTTGCAATTAGTTATAGCACTTAGGTAGATTTTATTTTCATTATAGATAACTGTGTAGTCTTAACAGCGTCGCTGAATATTGTGGTTTTAGTCATTAGTTAGTTGCTTTTATTGTTAGATTAGTTAGCTCAATTTAGCTTGGGACTTGTTAGTATTACTAGTTCTATATCTTGCGCAATTTCATTGTATATTGTACAATATTGTGTACAATAAATACTACTTTATGTTTGATCGAGTGTTAAATTTCGGTCTCTTTTGTGCACATTGGGGTATCATTTCTATCAAAAATGCCTTCGGGGTTTCCATACAGCATACGTTTTTTCCTTTGGGGACAAGGAGGTGCAGTGGCCGCAGGTTATTGTGGCAGAGTTTAGAATTATAACTATATGACCCCCACAACATAGTTTATCTTGGTCTGGGTTTATAAATAAAATGTACAGACAAAACTGTCAAGAAAAGCACAGCAACATGTAAAGTAAGGGAATCTGGGAAGGCTACCTGTGACAAGCAGTTCATACTTTTTTTCTAATCTATATCATTCAGAAACAGGCCCCACTCTGTGGCGGTCTGCTGCCTCCGCTGCAGAGGCAGCGGCCAGTGGTACCCGCCAACAGCTAGCTCTACTAGCGGCGCTAGCGGCTCAAATTGATAGGGCTGGGGGCCGCCGTCTGCTTCCTCTCTCTCAAGAGAAGTCCTCCCACCTCCTAAGACCGCACAGAAGCTATAGAGCTGGCATCTGTGCTCACTCTCCATCTTTAACACTGCCAATTCTGATGTCAAGTGTCACTCACAGCCTAGACGCGCCCGACATTCACCCCCCTGCCAGTCCCCTTTAGTCCTTCAGGCTACGCCCATTTGGAGGGAGATTTGAAAAGAAAATGTGAGTGACGTAAGCCTCGAGGAGCGGGGGTGAGAAGTTCTTTAAACATGGATTGCTGATGCAATTCACCTGCTGGAGATGAGCTAAAAACGATACAAAGTCTGTATTATATGTGACAACTTTTTTCTGCTTTATTTTGGAAATGTTGCCAATTTCAGCTAAAATTCATATATCAAACTGGCAACCCATTCTTCTCCCTGATAGATAATATGCCTTTAAATCATAAACTATTGTGGACATTAAATCAGTGTTTCCCCACACATAAGCGAATCTGTGGCGCACCGCCACAGACTCAAAACCGACCGCCACATATTGCGTTTTTTTCCTTTTTGATTATTCAAATATTTAACGCTATTTAAAACGCACAGCGTTTTCGTGTCGCTGCATGTTTTTTCCCCTGCTCTCCGCATGTCTCTGTCACACACGCTCACACACACACAGCCCCGCGTCTGACTCATGCCGCTCAGACCGGAGCGACCAGCCGCTCCACAGTGTTGCGGCTGAGCGCGCAGCCTCAACGTGGCCATGTACCCTAGACCATAAACATGCACAGGACCGTTCTCTGCTTCTCGTGTGCGTGTCTTTGGGTAATCTGGGCACCCAATGAATACACCGCTGCGTGAAACAGTCCGCGTCTCCCCTCTCCTCTCGAAGCGCGACTAAACGCCCTAAATGAAAGCTCGGGTACCTAAATTTTCTATTGCATTAAAATTTGGATTGCAAAAATGTTGATTGTGCCCAAAAGTAAAATGTTGTGAACAAATCAAACAGATTTAGTGACAGCCAATGGCTGACATTATGCATTTCAGACTTTTTGGACCAATTCTCATCCCTGTAACAAACAATAGTGTTGTCTGTGTCCACCTCCCTCACTCTGAGACATGCTTATTACTCTCTTGTAATGGAGACTATTGCACTGTATTTTATTGTTGAAACTGCAGAAATCCTGATCCTCTACAGTATAAAAATAAATAAATAAAATAAAAAAAACACGCCTGGGCCGCCAAGAAGACAAAAATGCACGGCCCGAGGTATCAGTCTGAAACAGAGCTATGAGTTATGTTATTAATTTCTTTATAATATTTTCAGGCTTGAACCAGTTTAATACATTATGAAATATAAACAATTTGTACAGTTCCTACAGTTTTGTGTAGGGTGTCAACTTTAATGTATTAAAGTTTTGTGTAAAGTTTGATTTGTAGGAATTCTTCGCCCACCCCCCCACACCGACAGAGGGGGGCCCCACACCGATTCCAATCCTGTGGGAAACACTGTATATTCATTGTATTTGCAATCAAAAACAACTACTTTAAACTTGTGTTCAGACAAGGTCAAAAATGATGTACATGTTGATCTGTTATCTGGGGACACGTAAAATATGTAAATTTAAAATGAAAATGCAATCCCTTTAACATAGGACTCCCAGAACCATCATTTTGAATGCTCCCATGGAATTCTTGAGAAATTATATGTTGCTATGGTAACGATAAGAATTTTATATAGAATTATAAAAAAGGCAAAGTTCTGAAGACCACAAAGTAGGGCTGGGCGATAAAACGATAACAATATATATTGCGAGAGACAAGTGTTCGATATCAATAGAAAATGGGGTTGATAGAACTTCGATAGTTTAACTTCAGTCAGTTTGAAAAAAACAGGAACAAAACAGGAAATAAAGCAGAGTCAGAAGCGCACGGCATTCTGGGGGATGTAGGCAAAGGCTTCGACCCATCACAGCAGACTACAAACCGCAAAACTTTCTGGGAAAAGAGAAAAACAACCGCACCATACGTAGCGTCCATGGATCTATTATAATAGCCATGGATCTAAAGATTGTGTTTCAGTGCTGTGTCAATGGTTAAACACGTCCGTGTGAGGAACAGCATGTGCGGCGCGGGTGAGGCAGTGCATACAAAGACTCGATGCATTCGGCAAAAGCAAGAGATTAACTTTTTCGGAGCAGCAACAGGGACACAGGACACTCGAAAACAGCCAAAACAGGAGCTAAACCAGGACTAAACCAGGACTAAAGTGGGGGAGACTGCTTGTGAACATTTGTCTGCAGCCTCATTCCCCCGTGACTCTAAACAAGGCTGCTAACATGTGTTAGCCAACATGATAAATGTATTTGTTTATGTTTTAAAAAATAAATAAACAATCAATATATATCATTATCGACCGTGTTGTATTTATAAATAAGTGACATTCTAAAACCATGTGTTTTATGATCTATCGACCTCTGAGTGGCAGGCCAGTCCTTTTTATTTAAATTTAGGGGTCTTCTTGGGGGACCAGCTAAATAACAGATGGGTTCTGCTGTTTGGATTTTGTCCCCCTAGCCTTGGCCCCTGCTGACTTCTGCATTATTGACCCCACTCCATCAGGAGTGGGTTGACACTGGAGTCTGCCAGTCTACTCACTACTTGTTTAGACAAGCAGGGATGAATCCAGACCAGAGACAGCTGCCCGGAGACACGTAGGTTAGAAAAGCATGAATTCTTTTTAGGTGCAGACTGGAGACGGAGACCAGATGGAGGAAGGCGGATCACGGGACCCTGGAAGCTGCCTGATACCACGCCCCTTCTTCCCCATGCACATTTTACTTATAGTAGATAGTTTGAATGTGTGGTTAGTTAGTTTTTTCTGGACCAGGGGCAGTGTGTGACTTGAGGTGGAGCGCCCACTCAAAGTTATAATTTTATTTTTTATATAGAGAATAAGGGATAGTTACTTTTGGTCCGAACAGCTGTTTTAGATTCTTTTTGTATTAGGGATATAAACCTTTTTGAATTTAACTTTCTGAATCATGGTCATCTTTATAAGGGATTTTGAACACGTCATTTTTTAATACGTTAACCGATATGAATTACTTATATTGTGATATAGTTTTCAGCCATATCGCCCAGCCCTGCCACAAAGATGCATACACTGATTACACCTCCAAACCTAAAAGCCGACGGCTTAGTCTAAGTCTAAGGACAGGAAATACTTAAAATACCTTGGATAAAAAAGTATTAATTGGGGTATTTTTAACATGTTCTAATTTAATCGAACTAAATCACATTCATGAAAATTAACCCCAGTCTGAGTTTAAGCCCACCCTGCACCTGTGTATGATGTCCCACAGCTGCAGTCCATCGTCCCTGTAGTAGTAGTTGGGCACTGACTCCATCCCTCTCTCTTGAATGTTGTCATGGATACAGAGGGATCTGTATGTGACAGCAGCCAGCGACCTCTGCAGGATGGTCATCATGCCCTCCCAACCAGCGGCAGCGAACTGGAACAGCATGTGTATGAATTAGGGATGTGAAGATTCACTGATTCGCATCGGTGGTCCGATACAAACGTCTGCGATGCAACTACACGGATACATTCAGGGCGCATCGGATATAACTTGAGTGTGAATTTGCGGTGCATCTCTTCCAGCCTGTCTGCATCGGTAGATTCCATGGTTAAAATCGATTCTATTTCCTGGCCTGTCATATTTCCAAGGCAACCTGAATGCACCATCGCTTCCTCGGGCTCTGCTCCGAAACAAGCATGAACGCTCACAACATAAACGGCAAGGAGATTTTTAATGGCCCCTAAAAAAACAGTCAAGCGTGCGGAAATGCCGGGCGCCGCCTATCAAATACGTGGGTAGCACAACGAACCTGGCAACGCATCTGAGAAGACGGCACGGCGTGGATACCTCCGCGGCTGCTACCCCCTCCTCTTCTTTGGATTATAGCGAAAGTTGGCGACGCGAGCAGTAGGTCTATCACAAACTTCTTTGGTCAAAACACTCCTCAAGCAGCTAACTCTGCCCGCTCCCAGGCCTTAACTGATGCTATGAAGATTCTCACATAGGAGAAATTTACTGCTATAGCAGTTAGTCTACTTCATCTCCAAAGATATCCAGCCCTACAGCGTTTTAGAGAATAAATGATTCAAACAAATACTCTGTACATACTGAATGTTTTTTCCAAATAGGATTTCTTGGTTTGCTCCATAAAATATTGATAATATAATCGGTTTTATATAGCGCTTTTCAAGAACTCAGACGCTTCACAAATTCTAATAACCATAACCAAATATTAAATACATCCCTCATATTGATAGAGTAAAGCAGAATTTGAGGTAAGAAACCTGATGTGGGCAAATAAACTCTCATACTAACTGTATCGAACAGGATCACTTCATGTCAAACCAAATCCCGTTGCAAATCAGTCATATCGTTATTAAATTATCTTTGAATCGCATCGTATCGTGAATAGGAACGAATCGTATCGAAAGGGACTTCAGTGTATCGTTAATGTATCGAATCGCTAGAAGTGCATCGAGATGTGTATCGAATCGGCCTCAGTGGGAGATATACATCCCTAGTATGAATGTGTTCTAAACAGCGTAAGGAGGTCACAGATTCTGCAAGAACTTACACGTGTCAGAACTCCGAGCTCCGAAATAAGTAAGTTTCTGGCCAACAGATTTATTTGTAGAGTGTAACGGGTGTGAGGGACAAGAAGCTGGGAAAGAAAAGAGACAGAATTAGCTCTGGTTTTTGTTTAAAGACATAGGTTTACTCATTGGGAAAACTTTGAATACTAGATTATCATGCAATAGCCCAATTGAGCCACTTGTGTAAATCCACGTACAATGTGCAGCTAATATATGACAGACTCAGAACATGTAATGCTAATTTTCCGAGTTTTGTCTGATACTGTATGTAAGAGCAGGAGAGGTTCACCTTGTACAGAGGGTGCACCCGGGGCACGTTTCGCAGCAAAGACATGGAGAAGGCCTCGGCCAGCAGGTGAGTGCGAAGCAGGTGCACGTTCAGCTCATGATAATTAAAATCTGCACTTCTCACATAAGTCTTGGCCAATATCCAGTCGTACTCTGGGTCAGAAGGGAAAAAGATGGGGTTGTCTGACGATGGAGTCTGTTTGAGCTGTAGAAGAAGATCAGCGGTCATGAATTATGATTGTGTGACTGAATGCTTTCAGACACTGGTCTCACCTGAATGGCAATGGGTTTCAACTCGTTCTCAGGAGTATTGTGAAAAAGAACAAGAGGGGCCGCCAGGTACTGCTCTTTAGAATTGACAACATTCGGCTTTACTCCATCCAAAATCTTGTAGTCACACAGGAAGATGTTTCCTCTCTAAAACATGCAACACAACATATTTACACCAGTAGTATAGCGCTTACCTGACTTGCAAACCACAACAATTGAACCATTTAATAGATGCATCTAACTTTTCACTAGCTCTCTGTATTTGGTTGTATCAGCTTTTCAAACAGAAAAGTTAAAGAGAAGAATGTCCTCACTGAGCTCTCAGCCCAAAGGGATTCACAGGGATCTTTCTTTGGTATGTAATACAGCAAGATTTAAAGCATGTCCGTCAGTGGGAGTGGATTCCCCTCTCAATGTGGGTTGAGAGAGTTTGAGTCATTCCGTGGTCCGGGACATTTATTAACATTTATGGATATTGGTCAGCCTGCTCTTTTTTTTATTGCACTTCCTATGTTCCATCAGTTTGATTCTCTGATCTGTTGTTGAGGAAATGTCCACCTCGTAAAGTCGTCTGATACGACTGCTGTTATGATATAGGGAGCCTAAAGAGATTGATAACATGTTTTCTAATAAGAGGAAAAAAGGGTGGTTCTTGTTTGTTAATTTTACTTTACAAGACCTTTTCTGCTGGAACATTGTATTACTTAGGTACTTTTGATACTTATACAGAGCAATAACATAATTTATCTAAAGGAACAGAATAAGAGATTGTATTATTCTTATAAAACAGTAAAGAATACAGATATCACCTGCATCTCATCAGTCAGCGTGGCCCCGCCCTCCAGACGGACCATCTCTTCAGTGAGTGGGAGGTTACTGGGCAGACTGCTGCAGCGTTGGATCAATATGGGGTTGATACCATTCAGAAACTGGTAACCAAAGAAAGCATCTTCCTTCCAGTGAGCACGTACATACTCTGAAAACAGATCGCATGGCTCATACTTTGGCAGGCTTCTGCAACCACTAGATCAGGGCTGTCCAACCGGTCCTCAAAGGGCCAGTGCGGCAGCAGGTTTTAGTCCCAACCAAAGTAGGAACACACAGTCTACCCAGTTCCTCAAATGATTCCAGTTTTAACCAAGCCATGGACGCTGAAAGATTAGCTGAACCCACCCATATTTGGTCATTTCTCTGGGCCTCCCGGTTTTGCGCAGTGGACGACCTCCTATAATACTAAGAGGATGCATGTGTAGCTCTCATACACGTGCACAGAGGGACATGGTAGCGTACTGACCAATACTAAAGGGAACATTTCTGGACAGCCCACATGAATTTAGTCTGCAGTACCACAGGAAGCCCCAAGCCTGTGGGTGTTTCAGCTAAAAGCAAGTAATACCCTATCCAAATATTATTATTGATTAATGGTTTTAACTTGAAGATTTGAGGAAATGGGTGGATCCTGCTCAGGTTGGAACTAAAACTTGCAGCTACACCGGCCCTTTCTGGAATTTGTTAGACACCCCTGCACTAGACCATGACATAAGTACCAGCACAATACCTGAAGAAGCAGTTGCATGGCAGCTAAACACACGCTCAATAGAATCAAAATCTGTCCAAGGCTTCCCATTTTTATCCAAATGAGACAGCTTCATCTCACAGAGCCTTAAAAAAATAAAAAAAATAAAAAAACACATTTCAAGCTTTTACAAATAAGCTCTATGATAGTCGATGTACAGTTGTTGCTTACCCCTGTTTAGAATTCCACTCGAATTCGGTGGCCTTTGTGAAAGCAAACCTGACTTCGTCCGGCAGGTGTTCAGGTTTGTCTGCTTTAATACAGTGGGGTATGCCCTCAGCGTATGTGTGCCAACTGAAACATGCACATACACTCAACACTCAAAATTCCAGAATCCATCGGTTTTTTCCCCCCGAACAAATCAACAAAACAAAATGATATATCTTTGTACACACGTTTGGAAAAGTGATTGGATGAAGCAGACACACTTCAATCACATAGACTACTCCACACAGATACTATGATTTGTAATAGAAAAACAACAGTAGACAAGTAACACACACACACACACCTGTGTTGAAGGCATCCCTCTCTTCCACATACTTCTGTATTCAATGAGGTTTGAACATTTATCAAAATCTAATAATCTATTACAAACAAGAGCTCCACGCACTTTGACTTTAAAATACATAGTCCTAAATTAAAGACACAAATATTTTTGGGCCCTGTAATTATAGTGAGCATCTCAAGCATGATGCTCACTATTATTACAGGACATTATTTGAGCAGTTTTAACATTAATCAAATCTTGCAGTATGACATAATTTCATTTTATGAACAGTGGATTAGACAGCTGTCTATAGTGGACATCAGATGCAGTCCTAATGGCCTTTTTGAACAAGTGATTCAAGGCTGTAAGTGAGATTTATAACAGTTACCCCAGATTCCAACACAATCGTTTAAATATGATATTATGACTGAAGTGTTCAGTAAATGACATCATAAATTCATCACATTTCAAAATTTTTGTCCACAGGTAACTTATGTGAGGTTTTCAAGTGATATTTTTGGGCGGCAGTAGCTCAGTTGGTAGAGCTTTGGCCTTTGAGCCAGAAGGTCGTGGGTTCAAGCCCCGCTCAAGACTTTCACCATCGACTCCCTCTGACAACTGTCGTTGTATCCTTGGCAAGACACTTAACCTCTGGGAACACCAGCCACAGTGGGGCGGCTGCGGCTGTAAAGTGCCAAACTGCCGTTGTGTCCTTAGGCAAGACACTTCACCCCCATTGCCTAGAATGAGTCTGGTGTGTGTGTGAATGGTTGGTGGTGGTCGGAGGGGCCGATGGCGCATACTGGTTGCCTCGCTTCTGTCAGTGTGCCCCAGGGCAGCTGTGGCTACAGCAGTAGTTTATCACCACCGTGTATGGAGTGAATGAATAATGACACATGTGAAGCGTCTTTGAGTGTCCAGAAAAGCGCTATATAAAACCGATGCATTATTATTATTATTATTTTCATTATTGATAACTCCTAAACATGTTAAAGTTGTTGAACTCTTCCATCAAGAAAAATCCTCACCGGCATTTCATTTTTACTATGGCTCAAAAGCACAATATCGTTTTGTTTTTAGATGCTTTGATGCTCACCAGTATTCCCTTTGTCGGTCTTGCAACTCCATTCTTCTTGATTCTTTAGCGAGAATGTTAAGTTCTTCAAAGACCTTCACCGCTGTTGAGAGGACAAACTTGACACAAATGCTCATACAAAATGTTATGATAATGACATTACATAAAATGTTTGTTATGCATTTCACACCATTTAGAACAATTTCTTCCTAACAGAAATAGTATTCTGCATTATTATTCCTGGCACATGACTAAGGAAAGAATGATTCCACTAACCTTTCCCCTCTCGAAAAAAGTGCACTTTAACATCATCGATCCAGTGGTACATGGGGAATGTAAAAATTCGTCCCATTGGAGAGGTCACCTCCACTTTCTCCACAAACCAGGAGTCCACAGGGAACAGCCGCAGTGGCTGCTTGTCCAGCTCCACCAGGATCAGATCCCCCAGGGGGTCATCTGCCATTAACCCCGGAGTTCCATGGACTGCCACACTGAAGCTCGATTTCTTAAACACAGTATGTATTTTTAATCTGAGGATTTCAGAAACTTCAATTTCAAAATTCAGTATACTCACAGATCCTCTGGGAAAGCGGTCATCCCCCTTGAGCAAAGTTCGTGTGCTGCTTAGTCCCTGCTCGCCCACCAGTTTGATGTACACATTGTTAAAAGTACTTGCATATTCAAGGCGGCCTGTAAAAACCCTCACTGTGTATCTATGAACTGGCACTTGCATAGCGTCCATGTTTCTCTCAGTAAGTCGCTGTAAGACTTATGAAGCTTAGGCGGAGGTTCAGGACGGTAGACCTTATCACACCAGGCAGGCTGGACCGCGCCTTACCCAGCCTGTCATAATCAACTCAGCAACTCCCTGCCAGCCGTGTCAATCAAGCCAGCTGATCTAGCCACATTCAAGCCTCAATGGGTTGTTCTGGCGTCACTTTGTTCGGTCATGCACCGAGGTGAAGTTAGCCGAACGTTTCATATTCGTCTGATATTCGAACAAAACACTCTCTGGATTCAAAGTCTGTCCGTATTCACATTGTTGCCACTTATCAAAAAAAAACTTTAATTAGGTTGCAGCTGACGATTTATAACAGAAAAAACAATGAAGATGAAGTAAGGGATCGTCAGCAAAGTGCAAGATTTGACAGATCGTTGCAGATGGGTTGGTGAATAAAAAAAGTGTTTTTAAAAAGATATTTTTCCCAGATTTGATTGGTGTAGTAGCTCCCAATTAATGATAACTAGCTACTACAGGCAACAGTTTGGGAAAAATGTTTTTCCCCTTCACAGTATCAAAAATGTATGGTCTTTTTATTTATTTATGTAAAGTTCAATTTACATATATACAACATTTAAATCAAACGACTTCTTATTTCGACATAGTAACAAATAATGTGAGCAATATGTTTTTATAATAAATCAAAGGAAAATGAGCCATCGAGACATTCCAATCCAATCTGCTATAGACCACTCTGACCAGACGATGGCGCTGAGAGGGGTCCACACGGAGTGAGTATTTCCACGGCTGAAATGATGCGCTTTCTACGTGTTGAGTACGGGTTCTACGTCATGGTTAGGACTTCGCTAGTGGGATATCACTCGTGACCCCTAGGTCACACGCCAGAGAGATCAAAATAATTTGCTCCAATCACCAGCCACCCTCCTCTATAAATGCCCCTGCACAAGGCCGCACCCCCTTTTTCACTCTGGCGCCGTTTGAGATCTACCACAGTACTTACTTCATTCTGAGATGTCTTCCTTGTTCGTCCGAGTTCCCCTTCGCCCTCGGCGTCGTCGCTGGATCCAGACGGTGGAGGACTTCACCTCTGTGGGCGCCACCACTCGAGGGAGGAGGAGGATACAACCCACGTTGTGCCCGCGGATGGACCCGTTCGTCCATTACGCGACACGTGAGTGGCCAAAGCCCCTAGCAGCCAAGAGGCCTGCTCTGGGGTACGGCATGTACTGCAGCGTGCAGGACTGGTCCTGGACCGGTGGTGTTCCGGACATCGAGGATTCAGTCCGCATGGCCCTGCATCCCTCCGCATCCATGTGGCCCGGCACCAGACCTCTCCTTCCCTCTGAGCGGGACAGGATGTCTTGGCGATGCTGGATAGATGTTATGCCAATGCGGCACTGGTCGTCGCATTGGCTAACAACATGGCATTCATCACGGGGGCCCTGGATAGGTCGCTCTCCTCTGGCCAGGCGCTCAGTGGAGACCTCCTATCACAGGCGAGGACCACCTCGGCGGCGATTCTGCGCATGTGCCAGACGCTAGCCGTGGATGGTGGCCGCTCCATGGCTGCAGCCCAAGTCGGGGCCAGGCACCTTTGGCTTGGGCTGGCTAATATCAGGGAGGGGGAGAAGAGGCAGCTGCTGGACCTGCCCATCTCTCAGACGTCCCTCTTTGGCCCGGACATGCAGCCCTGGTGGCGAGACTGGAGTCTGCAGCCAACGACTCGGCTAGGCTAGCCCCGCACCTAGCACCGAGGCGCTAGGCCCACCAACCATCACGGAGCCGGGACAGAGGCAGAGAGCGTTCGCCCGGGAGGCATCCTGACCCGTATCCGCGCTCTGTTGTCCATCGTCCCCCCTCGACGAGGCCCCCGGGTCCAGACAGATCCACGGGTGGCTCGCGGGAGCAACGCACCCACCGCCGACCTCCCTATGGGTGGAAAGTTTTCCTTCAATAAAGGCCGACCGGCATTTCATCATTACTTGTTGTCTGAGTCTCATTTGTGGGTATGTAACATGTCTAATGTGAAATCTGATTGTGTTACTTCCCGGGCACATAACGGTGCTTCGCTAGGCCTGCAGCCCCCAGAGCAGGGTGTGCAGTGCGCTACGTGAGCTACGAGCTCCGGTCCTCTGATCCATACTATGCCCTCCCAGAGAGAGGTCAGGCGGAGGGATCTGGTGAGTAGTGATGTGTGTGCTTCGGCCGAACGTGCGTTAGCCTCTCTGAGCTACAAGGCTAACACGGGGTTTCCCCCTCCAGGGGCTCGCCCCCCCCTCCATGAGGCAAGAGCCGGGGGGGGGCGCAGCAGCCGAGTCACGTGTGGTGAGCAGTCCCGTACTTATGACGTCGGGCCTGCAGGACACGTGACCGCCCCCGGCGCACACGGTATGACGCAGGGGGCCCCCCGGCCCTTTCGTCCACCCCCCCTCCCTGCTAGGAACACCAGGAGAGGGCGGGGCCGTGACGTCTCGTGTTCCAGCTCCCGTTCCGCCCCTCACAGACTTCTACAGCATCTGGAGGGAGCAGGGATTGCTGACGGATCCATGGCTGAGGAAAACATTGTGCAGGGGTTACGCACTGCAATTCTCCCGAAAGCCGCCACCATTCCGAGGCGTACGGGCAGCACGCTCTCAGGTACGGGGATCATTAGAGGCACTACAAGCGGAGGTCTCCTCTCTGCTGAGTCGAGGCGCAGCAGTGGAGGTAGACCCACAGGACGACACCAGGGGGCTGTACTCCCCTTACTTCTTGGTGCCAAAGAAGTCAGGCGGGGTGCGTCCCATTTTGGATTTGCGCGTTCTGAACGAGTGCATTTCCAAACGGCAGTTTCGGATGCTGTCCACAAAACAGCTCCTCGAGTGTGTCAGGCAGGGAGATTGGATGTCCTCAATAGACCTGACAGACGCTTACTTTCACGTGCCGATAGTTCCGGAACACAGAGGTTCCTGCGCTTCGCAGTGGGATAGAGGAATTACGAGTACTGCCGTCTCCCCTTCGGCTACGCACTCGCGCCTCGGACCTCTCCAAGTGCATGGAGGCGGCACTGGAGCCGCTCAGACGCGCAGGGGTAAGAATTTTAACCTACATAGACGATTGGTTAATACTGGCCTTATCCAGGGAAGTGGAAGTGGTCCCACATACAGCGCCTGGGCTTTGTGGTGAACAGGGAGAAAAGCAGGCTGCAGCCGGCTCAGCGCATGATCTATCTCGGCCTGCAGCTAGACTCTGTGACATTCCGTGCTGCATTGTCCGTGGGCAGACGGAGGAACATTACCCGTCTGGCCAGGGAGGTTCTGGCGGGCCCCAGGGTCCCTGCTCGGCGCCTCAGGTCCCTGCTGGGGATGATGGCGGCAGCTCATGCTGTGGTGCGGCTAGGCCTTCTCCACATGAGGAATTTCAGAGGTGGTTCTCACGCCTCAGGCTTCACCCCTCCCGGGACGGGGGGAGGCTTATCTGGGTTCCCCAAGTGGCAGCATCGGACATAAGGTTTTGGCTCACTCCGGGTCTATTGCGGGACGGAGTGACTCTGGCCTGCGCCGTGTCTCACGTGGAGGTGTTCACGGACGCGTCACTCGAGGGTTGGGGCGGGGTCCTCGGCCAGAGCTCTGTAGGAGGCTGCTGGTCAGACTCAGCCCGCCACATCAACCTGCTGGAGATGGAGGCAGTACACAGGGTACTGCTGCACTTTGCTCCTCAGCTGCAGGGGAGACACGTGATGGTGCGCTCAGACAACACCACAGTGGTCTCTTATCTGAACAGGCAGGGGGGCACCAGGTCCCCCGCCCTCCATCGCATGGCGACGGTGACGCTGCTGTGGGCGGCGCTTCACCTTCTGTCTCTGAGGGTGCGCCACGTCCCGGGGGTCCGGAACGTGGGGGCCGACAGGATGTCCAGGGGGGACCCACTCCAGGACGAGTGGGGCCTGGCCCCACGGGTAGCTGCGGAGTTCTGGCGGAGGTTCGGCCGTCCAGTGGTCGACCTTTTCGCTAGTGCAGAGAGCGCACAGTGCCCGTCCTGGTTCGCCTTAAGGGCCGCGGACGAGCCGCCCTTAGGCGTGGATGCTCTGGCTCATTACCCCTGACCAGAGGGCCTGCTGTATGCCTTCCCACCAGTGCGTCTCCTGCCGGTCCTGCTGCGGAGGATCGAACAGGAGAGGAGGTCGGTGATCCTGGTGGCTCCGGACAGTCCGCATGCCCGGTGGTTACCCTTCCTGAGGGGCATGGCGGTGATGGAGCCCTGGGCCCTCCCGGACGAGCCGGGGGCTCTAGTCCAGGGGGGGGGAGCCCTGTTTTCACGCCCGATAATCGGCCGCAGGCTCTGGGTTTGGAGGCTGAGAGGCGGAACCTCGTAGACCTGGGTCTTCCCCCGGCGGTGGTGGAGACCATTCAGGGGGCGAGGGCGCCGTCCACTGTGAGGGCCTACGCCACGAGGTGGAGGCTCTTCAGCGACTGGTGCGGTTGCCCACTGGAGGGGGTCCTGGGATTCCTACAGGAGCTTTTTGACAAAGGGAGGGCTGTGCGGCAGCCATTACCTCGGGTCACGACGGATTCGGGGGGGTTCACAGCCCGCTCTCATCCGTTGGTTAAACGTTTTCTGCGGGGGGCGCGCAGGAGGAGGCCCCCGCTTCAGAGAACGCCCCCGGTTGGGACCTCAGGGTGGTCCTTAGGGGGCTGTCGGGTCCGCCTTTTTAACCGGCGGCGGAGGCGAGTCCCGAGTGTGTCGCTTTTAAGACGGCCCTCTTGCTGGCGTTGGCGTCTGCTAAGAGGGCGGGCGACTTGTGTGCGCTCTCCGTCCATGCGTCTTGCCTGTCCTTTGGAGAGGGCGACGGCATGGTGGAATTGTGGCCCAATCCGGCCTTTCTCCCCAAGGTCCTCACGTCGGCCTTTAGGTCGAGAGTCAGCAGGATTAGGGCTTTCTATCCGCCACCGCATGCCTCCCCCGAGGAGGAGCGGCGGCACCTTCCGTGTCTTGTCAGAATGCTGAGGCATTACCTGGCC